AGTTATTACCTGTCCTTCAGTAGTTCTTTTGGGAGATTTCGATTAATTATTGATGATTAGTTCATGTTGGTTAGTGTATAATCTCTCCCATACTTTAACCTAAGACTATTCTGTAATCAAACAACTTTGAACCACTGATAATTTCTGTCTTTATTTTACTTCGACTGATCTTAATTCAAGCACTAATCTACTACTCTATCAAGATTCAGTAAAGATAAATATTTTATATCATTTAAAAACCAAACGATGTAAACTGTGTCTTTATGTCAGTAATATTTCGGCAGTTTAAAAATCCCTATAGAATATTCAAAAATGAAGAATATTTGAGCGAACAATTATTAAAAATTTCAATAATACATGCCTTATTTTTGGCCTTTGTAAAATATTATAATTATGGACTTATAACTGTAGAGCCCGATGATGAAGTTATTAAAAACAATTGTTCGCTCGAATATTCTTCATTTTAGTAATATTTATTTAAATTTCTAATACATGAAACTTTGATGCTGAAAATATCTCTAAGTCCTTATTGACAACAAGTGTATAAAATCACATTGAACACGATTTTCTACTGACAACCATGAAGTATCTAGAAGTAGATACAATCCACATGATATCAAATTAGTTAAATAATTGAACGGTTCATAAAAATGATAAATTATAAATTACCGTCATGTAAATATATTTACACGTAGAGAAAATTTATTAAAATGTTAATTTGAAAATATGAAATAAATTCTCAGTTTTTGAAAGTTAACCATTTATAAAAAAACAATTATGGCTTCTAAATGAATGATAGCACTTGACTATTATGACTATTACCCATATAACACTAATGAATGTATTACATTACCAATGTTGGCTGGTACAAATAAATATGAATGATTCTTATGTTAATGCACTAACATCAGTGTTTAAAGTTCACTGAAGATGATACTGACAGTAATCACGGGTGTTAAGCAGAAGAAATGTTAAGAATAGAACAACATATTTGTTCAACTGACATGAAGATGTTAGAAGAATCAATTATGGTTTTACGACTGTTTTAATGAAAATATCATATTTTTACTACATAATTTTGATTAATTGACAAAAGCAGATGCTATATCATTAAACAGGTGATTAACTAAACCTCATCTTAGAATTTGAATCTATCATATTGTACACTTAATTTGGTTAGTAATAAGATTATTTTTTAACCAATAATTACTAAATTCATATATATCTGTTGTATTATTAAATGAATAAAGAGAAGAGCTTTAAGTTCTGCTCAGGCTATTAATACACTTTTACGTAACACGCTTTTATTTTATACAAGATTATTAGTTACCTCGTAATGTTTACGTGTTGAATATATGCCTTCAATCACTAAAAATACCCTAGAATTGTTATCTTCATGACCCAAGGTATGTCCATATAACTTATTAATATACTCAACAAAGCAAGCAAGCTACTTCAAAAATAAAATATCAGTAGTTATATGATTATTTAATCTATTTGTTATTAGTGTTTCATTATTTGAGCTTCATGATTTAGTCGTGAAACTTTCATTTTCATTCTGGAAAGCATCGTCATCGTCTACTTCACATAGAGGTGAGCTTTTCAGTTAATCTACAAGCGTTAAATCAATTCATTCTGGCGGTCTTGTTTGTGACTGATTCCCATAACAAATCTCGTATTCTTGTCTTTGCATTCTTGCTAGCCGTCTTGATCAGTTGACTTTTGACATGTGATTAACCGACCTTTTCCATATAATCTTATAATTTGGATTCATGCTTTGAGTCTCACGCTTTTAAAAACCGTTTAGAGTTCTTAGAATTTTTAAAATCCAGAATTTTGACGTTTTCTTAATTGAATTTATGTTCAAGATTGTTTACGTGTGTTAATGTCACTAATAACATATTATTTCACTGCTCACTCCTGGTCAGGAATACGTAGGTGAAAAAGTTTACATTTTCTTTAATGTGATTTTTCTCGAGTCTGATGCAGTTCATTTTTTAGCCTTTTTATTTGTCATATTTTGTTGTTACATCTTCTGAGATGCATAAAAAAGAATGATATGAGTGCTAAGGTTTCTGAGAGACACTGATTTCTAAATTACTGGGTTGTTTTCCTTATATGGTAGAATATTCTATTTCCCGGTTTCTGGAGTTCATTGAATAATGGTTTTTTTATTTACTGGGAAGCATTCAACAAAATTGGTGGTATATCTATTATTACCGAAAACAGGCAATACCATCCTGTACATATGCGGTATTTCCTACAGAACCATTTGAAACCACTTTGTGATGCGTGAACAACTTGAAAAATTTACAACACTATACTCATTACAAACATTATAATTCATTTACTATTGTTTACTTTAGTCCTCCCATTGATGTTTAGGATTAGAATTGATCAGTCTCATGTTGGCATATGTGCATCCTGTGCGGACCGCCTTGATATTGCTTTAATTCACAAGCTTTATAAGTAAAGATGGATAGTGAATAGTAGTGGGATCCAGGAAGCGTGTTCCGTCTTATTTTGGACTCGTCAGCTGGGCGTACCTACACCCCACAGTTGATGTTCACATCGGGACTCGAACCTAGTATCGACCGCTTCAAACACCATCGCGTTAGAGTGCCGGAATGAGCATCCACTTTGGAACGCAGGGACATTCAACTGATGGGTCCCAAGTCGTATAAAATATGCGTCCTGAATTTCACTGCTAGCCACGATCCATCTTATAAATATTATAATGTTTATACTTCGGTGATAACGGAAGGGAACTTTTGCTAACGTCATGATGTAACATATCAATTGTTTAGTCTATTATGTGACGTATATTCTTGATAACTCTCTCTTAGAAGTCTCCAAAAATTATTATTCACTGTTAAAACAGATTACTGATAATTGAGAAATTACTATTCGAATTGGACAGTTCGATTCAAGAATAGTTATTATTTTATACTTTGGAATATCACTTCAGCAAGAAATATCACTTTGAAGAAAGATTTGTATACCTAGGTTTAGGCTTGTATTTATTTTCTAAATGGAGGCGATCGAACGTTAAACTCAAAACCATTGGAAATCATTCATAAGAATTGTAGGATCATGAATAGAACATGTAGGCTGTACAGTTATGTGTATCTACTGATTATGTAAAAGCAGAATTGAAACAGGGGTAGTCTGTATGATCATAAAATCTTTCCGATTCACATTTTACAAGCTAAAGAAACCGATCACAATGGAGGACAAACCAAATATCATTTACCGATAAGTTGTAACATATACTAGAAACAATACTTATAATGAATTGCTTGCTTTCATTGTCAGGAATTTAGAGCAGTTAGTCTCTTCTATTTTGATAGAACATTTTCTTCAGATCAACTCCGTTTTCTCATTGTTCTATCAGAATGCTTTCATTATCTTTGTTCGTGAAACCCACTACTAGCTATCAAGTATCACTCGAGATATTTACGCTTATTAATTCATGTAAACAATTGTGGAAATGAACTAAACTAGAAAAATATTGAAATATTGGAAGTCACAAAGAATTTTTAAATATTTGTAAAGTGACTTTAAAATTACTTTTCGTCTCAAAATAGACCCAATTTATCGACCGATGAGGAAAATGATTTACAGATACAAGGTCAGGGAAAAAGTCAGCTAATATAAAGTTGACGAAACCAACTAGTCAAATGTTATTCTAATACTTGAATTAAAGTAAGACCAACATGGAAAACCTGGAAGCGCTGGACAATCGTTTCGTTCCAGTAGGGGACTCTTCAGCGGTGTCCAACTCAGAACATTTGGTCCTGTTGAAGCTAAGTGTTAATAAAAAATGAGAACTATTGTAAGTGGACGAAACACCGTTTGACTCAACACAAGGAAGAAGTAAAAACTAAGGATGAAGAATTTATTATGTAACAACAATAAACCCGTAACTGATCCAACTGCTTATCAAAGCTATATAAAAATATACTGACATAAATAAATCAGTAATTTAATGGATGTATACAATTTACAACATCGATAGATTAAACGTCGTCAACCAACAAATAGAACTCAATCCTTTCTAACAGACATAGTTGAATATTACACCTCTTCTCTTAATTTGTGTGCATTGTGTTGCATAGAGATATAATGAAAATTTTACAAGTGAAAAATTCAACTCAGAAAGACCAACACCAACTGTGGACATTTAAAACTACATTTCAGCCTAATGGCTCTCAGATCTGTCATTCTATTGTCAATCATTATTGATTGACGTATTGTGAATCATTTACTGACAACATAATATTGTGTGATAACCTTAGTATCCCGGTGAATAAAACCAAATATTTCCCACCAGTATGAAACCTAATCTCTGACTAAAACTTCTGTAATAAACAAATTGGATAGATGGTACTAGAACAAGCATAAATAGTTTATTCATTTTGCGCACTGTTATTACTCACTTGAAAACCATTCTTTATTGAATTAAATAAACTAACTTAAACTTGAATTGTTTTTGTTTTACAAACCATCCTTCCGTAGTAAAAACGTAATAAATATGTGGGTTAACTGCATTATTGATCGTTTTAGCTCAGTGTAAGTTCAAAATGATCATGTCTGGATATGCAAAAAAGTTTAAATATAAATTCCAGACCAAATTCTTTTATTAAAAGTGAAAGACCTTACTTGCTTGCCAAAAAACTATTATCCATTATGAACCAACCTTAATAAAACTTTGATAGTAACTACAATAAAACAAGTACTCAAAAATTAAGGTTATAATATGTTATGTGAAGACAAACGTAAGTTCTTGTATACTTGAATATAATTGCTCAAAAAGATATTGATTAACCTGACAATAGAAAGTTTGTAAAGTAAGCATCAAGCCAATCTCATTCCGACTTGATAATTTAGGTTACAATAAAGTAATATTATTTTCATGATTAATTATTTTTTTGAAATACGTCGTGTGCATTCAACTGTTTCTCCTTTGATTAATTGTTTTTTTTTTCTGTTATTTCAAGGCTTGTTTATCACCGCACGAATCCCGGTGGGCACAACTACTCGCCAGCTTAGATCGTCGTGCACAAGCTATACGTGAAGCTTGTGGTGATACAGACAGTGTTAGTCGTCTAGTTGAAAAAATTGTCGATCAATTAGTATCACGTTGGAGTCAACTACGTGATCCGCAAATCAATTGTGAAGATTGGCCAGAAAAAGACATAACAGATATTGAGAAATATGTTGAATCTACAACTAAAAAAGGTTTATTGAACAATATTCCAAATAGCTCTTTAATAAATCAACAGGTAATGTTTGCTATTTAATAACTCTAAATAATATTTATTTTGTATAGTTTAGGTCTTATCGCTAATTATAAGCATTTTACACATTATTTTTTATGTGCTTTCTTTTCAGAATTCACAGTCAGAAGCTAAACGATCAATAGAAAGTGGTCATCTAACGATTCATAAAGCAACAAAAATTTCACGTTTTGACATGCAACCTCCACCGTCGCCAACTGGTGAGTTATGGACTAAATTATACTAACTGTTTTATTGATTCTCTAATATTTCTATGTTTACTCAAAATAAGGGTTCATGTGGTTGACTTTATCGATCAAGAGGATAGAAATGGATAGGGCATTGTGACACTGAATTATTTATAAAAACTAATACACCTCTTTCTGAGGTTGGACAAATGATAAATAAAACTGTACTGTAGACGATAGAAAACCCTGGACCTAGGTTTCATGATAGCTAACAGTCGTCAGGAAGGCGTGCATGTAATCTGGAAGAGATTGGTACTTCCTGTGTGTTTCAAACACGTGTCACTCACTTTCATAGTATGAGACATTAGTTAGTCGGGCCGCGACTGACATCCAGTAAGATACACATTTATAGCAAGTCGTTTCAGTTAACTAACATGAAAACGTTGTGTGGGTAATATGATTTCCTTAGACTGGTGTAGACATTAGCTTGATGGATAGGGTTCAATCATTGTTAAGGTCTAGATTAAAATAACCTTAGTTACCATTCAGTTATCAATCAATGTAACAATTCTTTCAGTGAAAACAACTATAAATGTTGATTTTCCTTTGAACCATTTCTTACCGAAATGTACTTCTTAAGATAATCCTCACGATAGCTTAGCATTAAATGAAGAACCAGCTATAACTCATGGGGATATGATAATACACTCTGGAAGAAGTTATCATCTTGGCAGAAAGATAATATTGAGTTTTCGATAGGCAATACATAAAAACACCAAGGAAAGATGGAGAATAAAGTCATTTAACAGAGTAAAATTAAAAATATTTAACAACTTCCATAACCCGCTACACTAAATATTTTATATGTGCTAACTGGTAGATAATTTCAGGAGGTGATTAACGAGTTTCTTACCAGAAGTTATGACCATTGAAGTTCAACCATGTCAGGTGAGAGACAAATACTACCAGTGTTCATGGAAGGTAGTCGAGCAACATGAAAAAAATTGACTGAGATTAGGAACATAAACCACCAGATGTCGATCTCGTGGTCTGTAGATTATCCATCCACTGCAAAACCTGATGATCCTGAGATCGGTCCCTGGTTAATTTGTGGGCTCATGATGCTGAAAAGGTTTTTAACATGATAAAAAAGCGGTTCAGCACTTCATGGTTTGCAGTGGTTGTTCGACTTAATCTGTAGTGAAAAATTACAAAAGATGGAAAGTTATTGATTGCTCCTTTAAATATTTCAGCTGAAATCAATTCGTCGTGAAAACGAATCTTCGCATGCTACCATTCTGGATAAAAATTTATATTATTATGATTACATTTATAATAACAGTTAAAAGTTCTGTTATATATCGGAGATGTATTCTTAATAACTAACACTAACCAATATGATTTAAAATAGTGCTCATCCAATGATTGATAATTGATAAATACCACTTCGAAAATTGTCAAAAAATACCAGCTTAATTTTTTAAATATTTCCTTTGTACACTACAGAAATAAAGCTGATAACATTATAAATTCATGCTGAGTTAATTAGGCTAACGTTTTCCCCAACTATTTGTTGTGAATACACCTATTGTATCACAACTTTATAGGCCGTATAAAAAAGCACATTAATTTGATAAAAGATATAGAATGAAATTTAATCGGTAAAACTATAATTTATGGACGATCTATGAGCAACGCTAAAAGGACGTTGGAATACTCACCTATTTACCAGGTTTAAATAAGGGTTATGTATTAGTGTGAGGAATTAGGATTATGATTTACAGTTGATGTTTAGGGTTAGGAATTAGATTTAATGTTTTCATTAAGAACTGACAACAACTATAATACCAATAAATTTCTCACTAAAATCCAAGACCTGCTCTCTTAAATGTGATTGTTTCATCAATAAATTATAGTTTCGCCATTTAATCTTCAGTGAAAATTACACTCCAATAAGTAACATTCTTCTAATTACTGAATGAAGAAAACGATTGGAAGTGTTTGGTACGCCATACTTAATAAACATGTCTTCACTAGTAATAATTGTTTTGATGAATTTCAAATTTACTTTAAATAAGGCAATTATTTGTGTTTCATTGGTTGACAAGCTTTTTTATTGTTTTTATCTAACTGAATGATTGACATCTTCACATTGATCTACTGTATTGAAATATAAGGAATTTTATTGAAGTATAGTTATATTATCTAACTTTTAAAGTAATAACCGTCTCAATTGATTTGTTGAGAGACGGTTATTAATTGAGATTCGTGTGGCGCATATGTATTTGGTGCCTCCTTGTACCAATATCTATGTGTTAAAATAAATAAATAAATAAATAACCGTCTGATGTCACATAAATGCCAATGAGTATTACTAGTTAGAAGAGAGTAATGTTACTTCTTCTTATTGAACATCAAAGTTTGATTCCAATGATTATGAATAATAATTCAATATCTTCTGATCAATAATTTCTGATGCTGGCTCAGTGGTTTAGAGGTTAGGCGTCCGCGCACGAGGCCGAAGGTCCTGGTTTCGAGTAGTTCATGTGGGATCATGTACGCTCACTGTTGAGGAGTCTCATGCTAGGACGAAACGGTCTTCCAGTGCTTCCATGTTTTTAATGGTCGTCTGATATTGATCAATTCATGATCTCAGTCACAAACTCAACAGTCTCCACCACCCCATACAAATAATTTCTGATTAAGTAAAATCCTTAAAGTTCTATAATAAATCAGCAAACTGACTGATTAAGTAATTTTGATATTTGGAAAGATCTAGTAACAATATTTGGTCATTTTCTTAAAAATATTTATCATTGGATGTTGATTGGTTTCCACAATTTTAATATTCACGGTGTTGGAAATAGATGTTTTTTTAATTTATTTTATAGGAATGTGTTTTTCCACCACCTTTTAAAAGCGATGACATTTTAAAACTTTTGAAAATATGTGTATTCAAATACCCTAAACTAAATCAAAAGAAATTAGTTAGGGGTTTATATTTTCCCATTGTTAATAATCAGGACCGCGATTGATCAGTCTCTGTTGTTAACTAGTTATCTGAAATATCAACATTAGGAAAATACAGACAGTAACAATAAAGTAACTATCTGAACTCAGTAGCTCAAGGGATAACATGTTGTGTGGTTAAATTGAAATGTACAGAGTTTAAGTTTCAGTGTGTTTCAAGACTAAGATTCAGGCACATACAGCTGACGAATTAAAAATAAAATGAAACCCGAGTCCTGGAGCTTACCATTAGTCACATATCAAATGCACTGAATCAGTGAGTTTCAAGATAGTTTTCATCACAAAAAGTTGATGTCAGTTGGAAGACTGTCCACAGAGACAGAAAAGGACCTAAACAGCTTCTTTGTCATCATAATTTGTGGTCATTTATCATGATATTACATATATCTGATCTTATAGTATGTAAGTTGCGTAGTAAGTATGACACCATTTAACAAATGAAGCGTATGTATAACCTATTTGTTTAAAATGGGGACTGTCGTTGCAATTAATCAGTAAGAATCTGCTTTACTCTTGAACTGATTGACTGTACAGGTTATCAATTTAAGATGAAATTACAGGTAATTTAATTAGAAGTACGTGGTCCTGGAAGTTTCATTATTGTGATCATAATTTCTAGACAATAAATCAATTAGCTATGGAACTGTTAACTCACTAGTAGAAATCTCCAAATTATGTAGTATTGTTTAAATGTCTAGAGTTTTTCATTATAGTTAGTGTTAGAATGTTCCAAAAAAATTCAAATCAAATTTTTATTCAAAAATAACAGGTTATCGTGCAGAATTTGAGTCTAAAGCTGAAGAACTATTAAACTGGTTGGATAATAGCGCAGAGATTTTAGAATTAATCACAATGGATAAACGTCGTGTACTTGAAGCCAGTGGACAAACTCAAGTTTTAGGTCGACATATTATATCCCCTCGTTTTGAAAATAATGGTGGTGTTAATGTTGATGATGGTGATGATGATGCCATCAAAGTGATTAATCGTGTAACCAAAGAACTTGAAGACTGGAGGCATATAAAACAACGTGTCCTACTCCTAGGAGAACAATATCGCGATGAATTGTCACAAGGTAATAATAATGACGATTGTAATGGTTATTGATATTTTTTAATATGACCATATGGTTGATTCTACAAAACGCAAATATTTGGAGTACTTTAGGGATTTGTTGAACAATGGTTTGAATTAATTATTCAGTTATTTGAACTTTTAAAAACAAATCAACGTACCCCATGGCAAATAATATCATCACATTATTATAGTATTTGTTTTAATTTAAAGAGTCAACTGTTAACACTTTGTTTAATATGGTTTTGTTTTTATGCGTAAATTTTATTCTTTTTTCATTTAGTTGGTGTGATTAAAAGCATTTGATTTTTTTAAATTCTGTCAAGTCTATAGTTTTATTTGAGTAGTATTCTGTGTCTATGTAGTTCAATAAAAATTATCCTACTTTCAATACTCGGATATATAAATAGATAGTTTCATGATTTTTTTTCTAACAAACTACACTTGTAGTGAAATTGGATGGTGATTAATAGTGCAATCCAGAACGTACGTTTTATCCTATTTATGGCTTGTCATCTGAATGTTCCGGCATCTTAGTGTTGATGTTCACATAGGGATTCAAGCCCAGCACCTTTCTCAGTCTGAGATCAGTAGCTCATTGGCTAACACGTTAAGTATGTGAAGCAAATAATACTGTATTCGAATCTCTCTGTGAACATCAAAGGTGGAATGAAGTCATGTCTATTTGATGTGTGGCGAATATCCTGATTTCCATTGCTAGCTACTATTCAACTTTACTTAATTTTGAGATTATAAAGTAATGTTGATGCAGTCCTCCTACATATTCCTAAAGAAAATAACCAGCTGCAGTCTCTAACACCAAAATCATGAACATAAAAATCTCTATAAATGAAAGTATGCTTTGTCCGTAAGGGAAGATTGATGTAAGGTTGTTTAGTTAGTCGATTATATAGTATGTATAACTTAATTGATGTATTTTGTCAAGATATACATTATGTTGATTGACTGAGAATACCGATTTATTATTTACTTACCTAAAATAATAGCCGGTGAAAATATTGAAGAACTCGATCAACTATTTGATGAAATTGAAGAAAGGTGGACATATCTTGATAAATTACTCATCGAAGCAAATCGTCAAGTGAGAATTTCCAATCAAAGTGTTGAATTTCAACAGGAAGCAGCTAAAATTCACGCATTGCTAACTCGATCAAAAGAAGATGAATTATTAAAATTGAAAAATGAAGATGATTTAAAAGAAATTCCAGAATCTAAATTATTCACTAATCAAACGAAGTTTCAATCCGGTAACGAATCAGAGATTGATATTGCAAGTATGTAAATGGCTGAGTCATTATTTTCACTACATATATGTATATCTTCTTTTGTAAGTGTGTATCCATGAGTATTTTCCTCGGGATTTCTACGTTCTATAATTGTAACACTAATCATTACTATTTGTTCAGACATCTCTGTTTACACTGTTATATATGTAAAAATGAATAAACGGTTGACAAGTATCAGTGAAAAGCTTCATTTACTAATGATTAATAGAACATCCAAAATTCATACTTTTGAACGGTTTAATTAAAAAAGCTGAAGGTCAACTAACTATTCAGTCCTATGATAAAATAAGTAAACTATCAGACGACGACAAATATCAACATAATATAATTCATAAATCTTTGCATATAAGTAATGAAGATATTTTTCTTAAAAATAACCAATTCCATTTTATAAATATCGAAAATGTGATTTATTTGAACAGTACTTTTTCAATAATCTGACAGCGATCCGATCTATCTTTAGAATCTGTCACCAAAAAAAATCGGTGTCAGTACCTTCAACTGATATATCCAGATATGTATAGAAGCTTGCTAGGGAAGGATTAAAAAGAATTTCAGTCTTCTGTCCTTAAGGTATAAATCTGAATATAATTATCAGCAAAATCGTATATGAAACTTGAGGACAATTAGATAAGAGATCAAATAAATCCAAATAGATAACTGAAAATATTAGACACAAGTAATAAAATATAGAAGAATTACTTTTCACATCCATATTTTGGTACGTACGGAAGTGGCTTACATTTTCTGATCATTATGGTTTTCATAAGGCTAAGAATACACTCTTAACAATTTTTACAAAAGAATGTAAAAGTTTAGTCCTATAGCCTATCACATTAATGCATTTTATTTGAGATCATGGACCGATCAATGTTAGATCACCAATAAAAACCGAGAAGCACTAAATGGGCGTTTTGTCCTAGTATGGGATTCTTCAGCAGTGCGCATCCATGACCCTGCCCGCGGTACTCTAACCCAGAACCTTCGATCTCGTGCGCGAACGCTTAACCTCTAGACCAATGAGCCAGTATCCAACGGTAATAATGTCTAACTTCACTAAATCCACCATATTATTCGACCATCTTCTAGGTTATTCAATGACGGTCTATTATTGATCAGTTCACGATCTCAATTAAAACTCAACAATCTTCACAACCTTAAACTGATAATGTATGTTACTATGTTACTTAACTAATTATCTAATTTCACAAACTATTGAATATAAAATACCATTGTTAAACTAAACTAATAAACATTCTTGATATGAATGAAAAATTGTCTCTGAAATAAATGATCAGTACATACCGCTAAATAATTCAAACGGTTTCTATCAATTTGAATAATATTTCTTTCCATACTATGTGTTTACCTTATTTGATGGATGAGCACTGCTGAGGAGTCCCACGATAGGACGAAACGGCCGTTCAGTGCTTCCAGGTTTTCCATGGTGGTCTAGCTTCAATTGACTCATGATTTCAACTATTGTTATATATTTATTTGATAATATGAAATGTTAATCAAAATTACAAATGATTTGTAACCACTTATCGTCTGACTTTTTGGTTTATTGATTGGAAGTTTGTGATAAAATATTTTATGGCTTTTTGAACATGTAAATATACAATAACAATAGTGATAAACTTATCTTTAGAGTTCTTTAAAAGTTCTAACATTTTCGTAATGTGCTAACAGTATTGACCAGTTTTCTTATACAACTCAATGATATCAATATTATTTGTTTAAATGTACCTATTTACACTCAGTCATATACTGACTTGTTTAATTAAGGAAATCTTAATTTCATGGAAAATTTATATAGTATTACTACTAAATTTATTTCTGTTGGTTTAAAAGAAATATCTCTATTTTTTCTTTTCTTAGATATTAATGAAAGATTTGAGGATATTAAATTACTAATTGTTCAAGTGAAAGATGTCATTTCTCAACCAATTACTATTGGTCATCCTGAAGATGCTGATGAACAACTTACGACTTTAAATGTATGTTTATAGCAAAGTTCATCCTTTCTCCTATCGTTATATATCACTTTTTTCGTTAAGGTATTAGTATTAATCAGAATTACTAATAAATTCAAGTGATCGATTTACGACGATTGGTCTAATTATTGACTGACTCTGTTTAAATAATCATCGGAAATCGGGGCGCTTTAGACAGTGGTTTCATTCTAAATTTTGTGACTATTCAACAGATCAAGCAGATTATCCTGTCATGGATCATACTCAAATTAGACTATTCACTAGATGTTATTGACCAACCATTAAATGTAATTTCAAGTTAAATTGAACCAAAATATAACAACTTATCAACTGTATAACTACTTAATTATCATCCCCTTATATTAATAATGATCATATTGTGGTGTGTACTACTTATGTAGACATAAGTAGTATATCACGTGAGTACTGAACAGAATGTATGGCAGCAGAGAGACGAGAAGATCGAACAATAAAGAATGAAGAAAGAATGCAATTTGTATGAAAATGCAAGAACAAAGGGATTCTGAGTCATTTGAGACCATTGATGAACAATTTGCAGTTTAACGATTTAATATATGGTTGTTGGATTTTACTAACTAGTTCTGTAATTTGCTGTTAAATACATTCGATTGTCCCCACTGGTGTTCTGTTCACTACAATATGTTCAATAGTGACTGATTAGAAAAGATGATCCGCAGAGTTATATTAAGAAGCTTCGATCAGTGAAGTTCAAGCATGTAGTATTTTAGGCAACTGATCACGAATATCATTAAAATATATTTACTCATTATCAAGAATTGATCAAAATCCGATATCGATGATAATAAAGGTCATAAAGAAGCTAATTATTATTCACTTCATACAATTGTATTATTCATCTATTGACTGAACTAAAAAAAATAATAAAATTGATTATAAACTCTCCTCTTGTTAGTTTGTTGCGTAAAACCAGTTTAGGAAGTGTAAACATAATAAAAATTACAATCATGGCTTGATGAAAACTGTAAGAATAGGCTCAGTGAATGTTTACTAAGCTCTTTACAGACCTTACTTCAAAGAAATTGAGTATTTATTTGTCATGTTGAGTATTTTAATTTTAAACACAAAAAATTTCAATCAGTTCACGATGGCATAAGATATAAATAATTGTTCTCAAAAATCCATCACCTCGAACAACCTTAACCAGTTAGCACCGTTAGAAAACTTTTAGTAAGCTAAAACTAAGCAAATATGTTTTTTTCTCAGTCGAGCAATACAATTATTAGTTTTAATATTTTTCATGAAGTCTCTGGAAATTCGTAGAAAAGTTTATATTTCATGAGAATTTTTAATACCAAATTAGTGTTTACTACTCATATCTGTTTATGAGTTGATAGGTTGAAATTTATGTATGAGTGATGAATTTCGTTAGCTGAATAACCCACTCGTAATAACTATTTACCATGTGACCTTGATGTATCATGTAATCTTTCCAGCTTAATTAGACATTTCATTATCAATACTTATTTTTACCTTGAAACAAATTAAGGATTTTTGTATGACATAACTATATTTAATGAATATAATAAAACACTTAAAAATGCTACTCAATCCATTTCTATCTAGAATTAATGAGTAAAACTGTAAAACATTTATTATTTTGTAATGATTGAAATTAGTTGATTGTAGCCCATCATCTTGGTTATAGAGGGCGAGAGTATAATTTAAGGATGAACCAATCACAATTAAGAGAGCAGGTCTTGGATTTTAGTGAGAAATTCATTCACTCATTTGTCTGAATACCATTTTGGCATTATAGATGATGTTAGTTCGTGATGAAAACATTAAATCCAATTCCTTACCCAAACATTGAACTGTAATTCATAATCCTAATTCCTCACACTAATATAAAACCTTCATTTAAACATGGTAAATGGATGAACATGCTCAAGGTTATTTTTGTGCTGCTCAACGGTCGTTCATAAATATTATTTATTTATTGATATTTTATTCATTTACAGAAAATGGTAAAAGATTTTGAAGCTACAAGCGAATTTCTTGCTAATTGGGAGATGAATTCAGCAAATCATCTAGAACTATCATCATCTTCAACTGTCAAATGGAATGAAACATTAAAAGATTTACGTGAACAATATAAAACTGTTTGTGCAGATTTAAATACGCGAATTGATTTTCTACAAGATTTATCAGAACAACATGAATTATTTTTGGTAAGTGTAGGAGAAAATTTTTATTTTTATTTCAAATCATAAATAAATGAAATAGATGATAGGTAGTTGATTTATCAGGTATTCGCCAATTTTCAAATAAAATAAATGCCAAATAACGTTATACTAATTAATTCTTCGTTAAAGAATCAATACTTCATTAAAAAGTAGTCACTTATTTCCAAAAAACTCTGACCAATGCACATCGATGTGACCCAAAGCAAAGTTTATAGTTAGAAACTTAATGTCTAGACTACATCCGATATGATTACTGATAGTTCAAAGGAAAACTGTATTTATGAGATCTAGAGGAGATACGTCTACAGAGATCTTGAAGAAATGAATTTCAAAATCCCTGAGGTAAACTTTTTATTCAATGCAATCTTCGAATTGTCTTCTCAGGATTGAGTACGATTCATGAATATGTTGAGGATTAACTCTGATAAAGTTATCAATAAAAAGCCGTAATCAATATGTGGATGATGGTTTATGGCATGAACATGTCTGAGTTCAATAACTCTGAAAATAACTGCTTCCTCAACTAGAAATCCATCCATTTCCGAACCATTACTCAAAACACCGGAAGTATCAGCTAACTAAATTTTGTATCTTTATCATATTCAGACTAAAACTCTCATGACCATTTACACAAACTGTAAAACAACTCACGACAAATAAATCTTGTTCAATATATATTACTAAGAGATTTGTAATACAAAGCTGAGTAATAAATTTATGATTGTTCAGCTGTAATTTGTGAAAGGTTAAAGTTATCATAACAGTCAATGATAAAATGGACAAATTTTTGACAGATGTACAGGTAATGTAAAAATTAATTCCCCCAGAAATAGCCTCCAAAATATCATATTTTTCTTTTTGTTCACCTTTCTAGTAAAATAACTTAAACTAAGGAGTATTGAGTAATGCATTCTAAATTGATTCTTCAAAGATATCAAACTGATTAAGATAACAGATAGATGGAGTTGAGTTTTTGTCAAGTATTAGTATTAACTGGGAAATCACTGAAAACCGAAAAGAACTGAAAAGTAGTTTTGTTTTAGCACGGCTAACTTTAAAACAGGAACTTCGTGGTCAAAAGTTAAGTGTTTATAATCACATGACTGAAGTATAAAGAAGTTGTTTGAAACCATTAAGCTATAATGGAACTAGTTAAACATATTATGTATTATTCATGTTTGAAAAAACTACTCAACGAGACACTCTCATACTACATTTCTAACTGAATGCTTTTGAAAGGAAGGAGGTTTATATTGGCGTCATAATAGTTACATTTTAACGGATTTATTCTACGAAGGTTCCAAATGAAATATCAGTATATATATATATATATATATATATATATATATATATATATATATATATATGGTGGAAGTCACAGTAGAACTGCAATTCAATCACGTTTATTTTTCACCAGTCATATTATTTGATTAAAAATCTAAAATCATTTATAGTGATGAAGGTAATTTTCCACGTATTATACTAATCAGTTATCATACGGTATTTAATAACAATAAAATTGTCAACGAATCAGTTACTTGAATCCCACTTACTCATCTATTCAATATAAAGTGTAATAGACGAGTTCAATTTTTTATCATGACGGAATTCAATTATCTATTGAATCCAAATTAATCTACTTTGGCAACTAGATGTGTACGATAACCATAAACAGTTAAGGATTTATTTATGCAGCAAGTGATAATTTAAATATTTAGATGGGTCTATATTAATATACAAAACAGTTCTCAGCTAGAATTAATTTATGACGATTGCTATCTCATACAATGAAGTATACTGTTAATTGTCTGGCTAACTGTTCTTTAGTTGAAAACCTAACCCCAACAAAAATCTCTCAGAACATTCTCCGTTTCACTGACAGATACAGACATACGCAACACCATGCCTTTGGTAATAAAATTTGTGGAATGCTGATGTATTAAAGTCGATAATTTTTATCTATCTGTAAACAGGATCTCCATTGGACGATGAGAACTACATTTTTTGATTGGTCCAAGGGTAAGGGAGACAATAGTACATGAAAATACAATTCCACACTCAGAAAAACCTAAATCCTGGAGACGTTTCACTACCCAAACTTTTGATCTAATCAAAGCATCGCAGACTAAAATATCCTGGTTAATGTATCTTGTAACTGGACAGATGGAAATTCCCTATACCATAGCACGGTTTGACTAGTTAATACTTAACCAATCAGAAACATGTATGTTTTCGAAAAGTAACATTTTAATTCTTGTAAAGCCATATTATGTCATATGTGCTTATACATAGAGGCAAAGAGTTGTGGTTATGTAATTTTCAAGATACATGTTAATAGATTGGTAAAGAGGGCTTGGTCTGAATAATATGACCAATAAACATTTGTGAATGTGAATGAGTGAGTGTGTGCTAAAAAGTATCAGGAAAAAAGTTCAGTTAGTTTACTCAATCAACAAACTTGAATTATTTTCTCGTATAACTTTTCTAAGTTCTTCGTTTATACTCTTTAATCAATTTGTAGATTGTGTCTTTCTTTTCAAATCTATCTTATATTTAATATTTATTCCACACATATAAATTTTGTCATTCAAATTCTAATAAATTTACTTTTCGTAACGATTAGAGCTCTTATGATTTTACTTAAACCAAAAATATATTTCTGCCTATAGTTCATTTATTTACTAAATTATTTCAAATAGTTTTACTTGGTGAATAAAGATGGATAGTGGCTAGCAGTGGAATCGAGAACGCTCGTTTCGACCTTTGTGTGACTCGTCAGCTGGATGTACCTGAATCTCAGAGTTGATGTTCACTCTGAGACTCGAACCCGGTACCGTTCGCTTCAAACGCCATCACGTTATCCACTTGATGGGGTCACCCAGATGACGATTGATAAAAGTGAACCTACTTATTAAAGTTACATCAGTTAGCTGTTTTATTCGTAATTTTAAAATAATAACTACCAATTTGACCTTTTATTTTTTTGAACAACAAGAATCAATTTGAAGGAATCGAAAAATGGCTTGCAGATATGACAGATTATTTGGATTCAGTATCAAGAGCACACCTACCGTCAGTACCAGTTATTCAAGCCCAACTACAGGAAAGTTGTGAAGCATTGAATGATATGAAAACGTTAAAGCCAACTTTACAAAAAGTTGACGAAGTTGCTCACAGACTTTTGGAATACTTTAGTCCAGCTTATGCTGAAGTATGTTAAATTTGGGAAAAAAGGATTTTTTGTTTTGTTCGTTATTGTTTACATATCTTTAGAGATAGTTAAGCTCTACTATACTAATTGCTTAGTAGGTAAAAATTTGGAATTAGTGAAAAAATGTCATTTACTCGCCACATATTAACATTCCTTGAGGTTAGCGATAAAAACGTACTGTAACATTAAAATGCATTGTGTCTTTTTCGTCATGGATCTTCAGTAGTTACATAGCCAATTAATCAAACAAAAATTTCGTATCTCTTCGTGACTATCTCTGAGATGAGTTTCTCAACGTCCTTGTTGGAAGCAGTGCTCTGTGAAGTTACCCATGTTGAAACTGACATAGTTTTGAAATCTATGATGCTGAATGATAGCTTTATTTAATTACAAATGGGAAGTGTATTATATGCGAATCGTGTTGCGCTCATCTCAAAGTTCATGGGTTTTTGATCCAACGAAATTGGAATCGAGTGTTTGGGTTATTTAGAATGTATTCACTAGGATAAAAGTAGATGTTTATTTATTACAACGTATGAGGCTAAATCCCATGTGCACTCACATTTTTTCATTCGTTTTATTTGTGACCGGATATCAATGACAAAGTCATATCGGGACAAATAAAAATGAGTATTAAGGTTTCTTACAATATAGAATCAATCATATGTATGCAATCTATAAAGTATGCATTTGTTAACGCTTACAAGATAATCAAAAATTAAGTTTTTAGGTATATCACTGTTGTCTTGTGATTTTCAAAAATTCGTTAGTTGATATCAGTTCTATATAAAGAATTTTTTAAAACTGAGGAAATCGGTATAGATTACCTGCATAAATACTGGGATTTGCTTGTGGACTTTAGAAGTATTCATCCATTTATTTACAAATATATCAACGTTTATCGTCGAATGGTACAGAAAAACATAAAGATTGGATAGTAATTCCGGCCAGTTGAAGTCACGTTTATTAGTAACTTATTCGAGCGTGCTTCGCTGAGATCTTGGTGAATTGTTTAGTCTACTCGAAGACGATCAACTGATTCATGTCAGACATCTTTCTTATTGTGATTAATATAGTTAGTTTATTTCAATATTACTTCCCATCCTAACCGTTGACATAGCAAGTAGATGGTTTCAAATCATTTTAACTCCAGTAAGATGACTATTAGTGAGTGTACCTAATTACAAATTTCGCATACCTTCTTTCTTTATGCTTAACTATGAATTTATCAGAACTAACATGTTTTGAGTCTAAAATACATAAATTGTTATGCGAATTCACGGGTTAGGTAGTAATAAGATAAACTTAAATAGAGATGGTTTAATCAGACAAAAGTAATGAGCTGGGACTGAATTAAGCTACTATCATATAGAATATAGCTATTCAGATATAAGTAATATATCAAATATCAATTTTTCAATGTAAATGACTGTTTGCTAGACTCATTGATGAAGATGAAGATAAACATTAATCCTTGAGAAACTTAAGTGATTAACCTTTAATTTAATTAACAATGGAATAAATGCGTATATGCATATTACCCGGATAACTTAATTGAAAACTTCCTCTTTTTTCTAACTTGGTGTAAAAAAAACACAGCTTACCACTAATCGACTTCAATCATTGCACAATGATTGGAATGAAGTGAGAAATTTAACAAAGTCAAATCGAGATCATTTAAGAGCTAAACTATCTGAAGCCAATAGTTCAACAATGATAAGTAGAAATCAAGAATTTCCTGGTACAACAATTCTATCAAATTTATCTTCATCAGCGACAACTTTAATTAATACCCATGTAACAAGTAAAAATGATTCAGCTGATGGGTTAATTACAAACAATAATACAAGTACAACTAATAATAATAATAACACTCCATTGTCTACATCAATTACTGAATTTTCAACAACTGATAATTCAACAATATTGTCTCCGACTGTAACTCCTTCTACTATTGCCACTGTATCAAATGCTGTACAAGTGGATATTGCAAAGTTGGAAGTTTGGATGCATCAATCAAAAGAACAGTTATCACAATTTTCTATCATAAATGATCCAAATGATTTGAAAAAACTGGAAAATGTTATCAAGGTATCATTCGGTTATTCATATACAGTTTATATCATTATTATTATTATTATTATTATTATTATTATTATCAGACGTAGTACTAACATTAGTGTTAATACTAGACCCTAAAAGGTAATTGAAAAGTAATTCCTATCTAAACACTAAAAAAACACAAAGTTCAGTGAAGGGATCTCTTTTCAACAAATTTATTATCAAACTGTGTTCCTATAAATTAGTTCATATTATCATGTATAACTGTGAAACTAAGCTTGAAACAGTAAGAAATGAGTAATGTACAACTTGAGGAGTAAAACCAAAACTGATGGTAGATGAAGATTTGACTAACTTGATGAAAACACGACAGCCTTTTTAGTAAAATGAACTCATTTACAGAAAAAATTTATAGACATTTGATAATTGTTAGCCAACGAATATTATATATAACTGAAAATAGTGACAATACAACTGAATTTTTACACAAAAATTATTCAGACGAATTTGAAAATATCCAAAATAATCCTTTATTAAACATTTGCAGCAATTAGAATCAATATTAAATAATACGTTTTGTACTTTCGAGTATACTTAGCTGCATTAGTATGGGAATTAATTTAGCTTATTTCGACAGTACATTTGTTTTGTAAAAAAATAATTTATTACTATTTCGACTGTTTTTTTTCCAAGGTGATTAGTGATAAAATTATTGAGAATCGACCAATTTTAGCTGCAATTGATACATGCAGCGCTGTTAGTATAACAGGTCAACCTATTTTAGACACTGAAGCCTTATTAACAAAAGCCCATTTTGCTGATTTAGAATCAGCTGTCGCTGCAGAACGAGAACGTTTAATGGCGGCAATTTATCATTTAGATGATTTTAAAAGTAAGTTTATTATTGATACAAATTAATTGTTTTTTTCCCTCTTAAAACACAGTTTGCGTCCGCTAATATAAATGCTCTCTTGTTTATTTTTCTTAATTGGGGTTCATGAATCACGGAGTGATTTGTTACATCTTTAGTTATTTTGTTTGACGAGAATAAACTGAATATTCATTTTGTAAAACAAGTAATCATTAGAGACTAGATACTGCTATACTGTGAAGATATTAATACTAATTGGATCTCACAACATACTTTTCCGAGTACGCCTACTTATCTATTCAGCATCACTGTGTATCATGTTTGGTCGTAAATTGTGTGACACTGTTAACAATCATCTAAATACTTATAGTTGACAAAATTTAATCACAATGTAAAAGCAGGTTGTGCAGAGATCTACCAACGTACAATGGGTTATGCGGGAATATGACCTTCAAAAGCGTTTGATTTCTTTTACGAAGAATTAGTTGTTAATATATACTATATGCTGCTAAATGAATAGTATTAGATACACAAAACGTACATTGGACAGAGCTTTCCATAAATGTTCTTTAGACAGTCAACATAATGCTCATAAATTTCAACTGTTGGGTTTGAATAAAACACTGGTTCTGCTACTGATATAACTATTTGTTATAATTATGGGAAATATGTTACTTGTTATTTGTTATAATGCTACAAGGATTGATATGGATTGATGTAAAGAAGAATACAAGAGTACACATAAGGATTCATTCACTCATCAATCACTGATTCCTATCACTGATTCAAAAACTATATCAAAAGTACAACATTATATCTACAATTTACACTTAATCAATCAATCATTAAATTTAGACACTTGAAAATATAACTAAATTATCGAGTTTTATTTTTGAATCATCCTGAAAGTAACCAAACTGAATTTTCAGACATCTCTATGAAGTAAATATTCTAACTGAAAAAGTAAACAGATGGGTTCTAATGTGATAAACGGAAAAAAGTTCAATCTAGCCATTATTGTATCTCTGTATATCAATATTTGTAGAAAAAATACACAAAAAAAGCTTTAATTTAAGTAGCAATACATTGTTGTTAGAAGTATCACAGCTAAAATATCCACGGAAAATGATATAGTTCAGTATACAAATTGTAGACTGTTAACTAATGAAGCAGAAATTCTTTAATGTCAATTTAAGATTTTTTTCTATTACATGGTCTAAATTATCCTACTCGATAGTTTATTCTGTTCTCGAACCCATCACTGTAAACCATCTATTTATTTTTTTGTATTGTAACTTTCGGTTTTTTTAACAAGTTATACATTTATCAGATAATAATTCTTCTAATCATCGGTCATTTATTATTTTCTAGTATTTTAGAGGTTATGATCAATAGCATGTATTTGAAAAGGATTAAGGTCCATGTTCCATCTGTATTATTTAATGCGATTCTCTCGTTATCATCATTTAATCATATTAATTACAAGTAATCGTTTAAAGGATTGTATTGTATACACAATAGCTTTCAATCAACATTTGAAGACATTGAATAACTTACTATTTTGTCTAACGTACACGTTAGAATGAATAGAATTTTAGCTAAACACTTAGTAAAGCATATAATAGATTTATTAAACAGTAATAAATTTATATGTCTAAGAACTTTCGTCTAAATTTGAACAAAGTTTCACAATATTTGGGCACCGAGTTAATGTGAGACATTAAAGAGGAAGAATGTATGATTCAATAATTTTGTCGCTTGATTATATTTTCCATGAAAAAGCTTGGACCAGATTGCCAGGTGAAACGTTGGATTTACTTCAAATTCTTTCTCTGAGATTTTACAAATACATTCTTCCTCTTTAACATCTTATGATATCTCTTTCTTAATTATCTCTTTGTTATTATTTGCATCATTACTATAATAATCAGTGATTTTCTGTTAATATCTTTTGAAAATAGCTGTACTGAATAGTGAAAAACGATGGTTCGAAACTGTCAGAACAAATAATGAACGTGTTAAAAATAGTAGTTATTCAGAAATTAGTGAAATAACAGATGATTTAGAAGTAAGTTTAAACCATTTTTGTTTTCTATATTGAAAATGATTCAAAAGCAATTAAACATAACAAAATATAATTTATGAAATTAGAAATTATAATTTAGTTTTGGAGTACTTTGAACAATTTAATTTAGTATAACATATCGGTAGTGTAAACTCTCGTTTACTAAGTTTAGAGCTATACTAACTTAAGGTAAGTCGTAATACTATTTAGGTGCTTGAACTAAAGTAGGCTGTGTGAGGTTTGAACCCGTGGTTTTTCGGTTGAAAGCTTAATGCTTTAACAAATCATACTAATCAGTAAGAAAAATAAAGGAAGAACCTGTGAAATGTGGCCGATTGTTTAAATATTTACCATTTTATGAATTATCGTGGTTATTGTTGATTGTGAGACATTTTCAGTCACAAAATCACTGTATATGCTTCGATTAAAATGAACAAGGCTGTTGTTCATCGGTGTAAACACTCATATTTTAAGTCAGTGTACCACTGTATAAAATCCTGTTGAGTATAACTTTGTTTTTGTTACTGAGTGATTTATTTAACCATCATACAACAAGTTTAACTCTAAGCACAAATGAAAATTCTGGTCATGGTAATGAGTTTAACTAATTATTGAATATCGTCAATAATAATGAATTCACTGTTCTGTTTTAGAGTTTATCTTAAAAACTCTATTGGTAAATAAGCTTTATCATCTAAAGTCAAATGACGAACTGTATGAACGGAATTTTAAATATGATTATTTAACTTTATGATGATAATCTGTACTTCAAAGAGTAAGATTATCAGATTAGTTAAAAAAAAATACTACCACAAAATCTTGCATAATTGTTTGTTGATTATAATTTCCATAACTTAAACAAATAAAACGAGAGAAAATGAAGGAAAATAATCATGTGGAAATAATATTAATGAAAATATTAAACTAAGTATATGTTATATATCGTTGAAAATTGGCTAGCAGTGGAATTATGGATGCTTATTTCGTTCTATTTGGAGCTCGCTAGCTGGATATACCTGGATCTCAGTGCCGATCACTCTTTAAACAGTGGATCCAGATCTCCACTAGCTAATACAGTTATATCTATAGGTATAAATTGTCTAGTTATTTATCGGTCACTACTGAGATATGGGTATCCCAACCAGTGTCTCGATATCACGTTTTGTTTCAAGTGGTGTTAATGTCTAACTTCAATCGGTCTCCACAAGTCTCCATACCGATAATAATAATAATCTACTCGGCTTTTGTGGTATTATATAAAAGTGTAAAAGAGCGTATACTAAGGTTTATTGAAGCCTTAGCCCCCTTTGTGCATTCAAAAACAGTTTGTTCTTACCTTAAGCCTACCCTGGTAATATTGACTTATTATCCAGAGTGATTAGGTTTTGAATTGTGTTCAGATTATTATTATTATTACTCCTATTATTATTATTCTTATCTCCTCTTACCGCATTTCCAGTCTAGTTGACCTTTTATTTTTATAAATAAATGCTCTTAACAAGTATATGTGTGATCAGATTGTTCCAAATGAATTGCGCTAATATATCACATAGTTCTGATAATCTCCGTCTTCTTATTACATTATCGAAATTTATCAAAGCGACTAATTGCTTTAAATAATGTACTCACCAGTGACTAGCTTCAAGATGGATTTTCAAAGTTCTAGTGAAGGGCTGTGACCAGTGGAGTCTAACTTGTGTGAGGTGTGCGACAGTCACTCACCTCAGAAAATGAATGAAGGTTTGTGTGGGGCGAAGTGGCCGTCCAGTTCTTCTAGATATTCAGTGGTGGTCTGGCTTATATCGATTTGTGAGTTCAACCGTGAAAATACTAAAATCTCCACGAATCCCTATGCTGATATATATATATATATATATATATATATATATATATATATATATACATCCCTATGAGACGATAATGCCTTATTTTATTCTCATCCTAGTCCCTTGACAGATTATCAAGAGAACATACAATCGACGATGAAGAACGTTTAAATAAATTAGCTAATGCATTACATGAATCATGTGTTATGGGTAGTGCAATAATGAAAGAACTTGAAATATATAAAACAGAACTAACCTTAGTTAAAGTTGAAGTAAGTGTACTTGTTAAAAAAATTATTTGTACGTTGTTTATAATGGTTTTTTCTATGTATATTTCTTCTTGCTACATTGTAAATGATGGTGACGATGATAATGATAATTGTAGGGTTTTTGCAGTATTGACATCTTTGTTTTTAAGCAATAATATAAATTCAGGAAATACTCTCATTTCAAATGTCACTGGAGCTCAAAACTAAGAGATATTCACAATGACTTGATTTCTATAAAAGTGAATAGCTGTAGAAAAAAAAACATTTCATTATTTAGCTGAACATGTCAATCAGGATATGTATTTAATAGATTAAAATCATAAGCATTATTTACCAAAATAACTAAGATCATGCATATTAAGTTTAGCTATACTTATTCCGATTAGAGTGATTGAGTGAATAATGTTTTACTTCGACCAAGTTTTAAGTTTGGTGTACCAATTACCTGTAACCCAGACTTCTTAACCGTTTTTGGACTTCCATGAACCTATGACCTACAAATCCCAAATGAATTCGGAAAGAAGTAATATGACGAAAGGTTTAATTTCAAAATTACTTCAGTTATACAAATCATATGGGTACTTATTTGACTAGGATTGACCTTAGAGTTGTGGACAGTCCTATGAGAATGCTAAAAGTATTAATTACTTAGTTGCTCTTTCAGTCGGAATAAGTAAAAAATATGAGTGGTTTGGCTCCTGGATTTCGTTAGAAGTTTTCTCAATGCTTTAATTGGCTCACAATAATTTAGAACATTGTTTTTAAATTATCAAACAGTGTGTGTAAGGTAGTTACCCACCAAAGACAATGGCAGATGGTCATGCAATATCATAGGTTGATTGAAGTCAGACATTAATATCGTCGGATGCCGGTTCAGTGGTCTAGAGGTTAAGCGTTGGCAAGCGAGACTGGGTTCAATTCCTGCATACGAAGTCGTAAATAGGCACTGTCGAGGCGTCCCACGATAGAACGAAACGACCGTTCAGTGCTCTCAGTTTTTCAGTGGTGGTATAACATTGATCGTTTCATGATTTAAATGAAATTTAACAATCTCCACAACTCTATACTGACAATCGAAAGTAGAATGGATTGTATGTATTTGATTATTATGAGATCAGTTTCCACTAAGATATACATTATAATTAGTTAGCAAACCAGCTCGTGGCTGATTAATTTTTTCATTAACTATTATCAACTGTATAATCACTGAAAAATAGAGACCATTAAAAACCGATCTGATTCTCAATTTGGAATTTGACATTACTTACTTACTTACGCGTGTTACTCCTCGTGAAGGAGCATAGGCCGCTCACCAGCATTCTCCATCCAACCCTGTCCTGGGCAATCCTTTCAAGCTCTTTCCAGTTCTTATTCATCTTTTTCATATCTGCTTCTATTTCCCGACGTAATGTGTTCTTTGGCCTTCCTCTTTTCCGCTTCCCTTCAGGATTCCAAGTTAGCGCTTGTCTCGTAATGCAGTTTGGTGATTTCCTCAATGTATGTCCTATCCATTTCCATCGTCTTTTCCTAATTTCCTCTTCAGCTGGAAGCTGGTTGGTTCTCTCCCACAAAAGGCTGTTGCTGATGGTATCCGGCCAATGGATGTTGAGTATCATGCGTAGACAGCTATTAATAAATACCTGTACCTTCTTGATGGTGGTTGTTGTAGTTCTCCAAGTTTCAGCTCCGTACAGTAGAACTGCCTTGACGTTCGTATTGAAGATTCTGACTTTGATATTGGTTGAAAGTTGTTTTGAGTTCCATATGTTCTTCAGTTGAAGGAATGTCGCTCTAGCTTTGCCAATCCTCGCCTTGACGTCTGCATCTGAACCTCCTTGTTTATCGACGATGCTTCCCAGGTATGTGAAGGATTCCACGTCTTCCAGAGTTTCGCCATCAAGAGTGATTGGATTGCTGTTCTCCGTGTTGTGTCTGAGGACCTTGGTTTTCCCTTTTTGTCTGTTGAGGCCTACTGATGCAGAGACTGCTGCTATGCTGGCTGTCTTTATCTGCATTTGTTCGTGTGTATGTGATAGGAGGGCTATGTCATCTGCGAAGTCCAAGTCATCTAATTGGTTCTGAGCTGTCCATTGTATGCCGTAGTTTCCCTCAGATGTCTAGGTCTTCATAATCCAGTCGACCACCAGAAGAAACAGGAAGGGAGAGAGTAGACAGCCTTGTCTTACTCCGGTTCTTACTTGGAATGCGTCTGTCAGCTGTCCTCCATGCACTACTTTGCACCAGAAAAAATTTGACATTACTGACCACAAAATATTAACGGTGTACGATTTCGTCTCTTAAGAGACTGAAAGTGTTGACAAATCGGAAACAATAACGAATCGACTACTAATTTCTCCCTAGTTAATAATGGTTTTCAGGTAGATACCAGTCAATTATGAAAACTGTGTTCTAAGGAAGTCACAGGAATCAACTGATTCATAAGGAAGTATTCAAAACCATTCACCAAATATATAATATTTCGATTATTTAGTTAAATACAGTGATTGCCTGTTTCGTTAACTTTCTGGGTGGTTTCTAGATCCTTTCAATATTTTACAGTTGAACTCCGAACGAAACTAAAACAAGGAAACTAATTAAGAAACTTTACTCTAAAGGTCAATCTATTTATAGATACTTAAAGGTACTGTTGACCTTGGAAATCGAGAATTTCATAGGAAAGATGAAACAATAGGATTAATATTTTAGACACTCGATTAATTAAAGTAATGAAATTTTCTGAAGTCACTGGATGGGTAGAAGTAATTTGGATAGTTCTCGACAGTGAATTTATTGATTTATCATTGAAATTTGTTTTATATTAAAAACCTGTTTTTCTAATCATTAGATTGATTCTACAACTGCTTATCTGCAAAGTTTACTTGACCAATTACGTTCAGTGGATGAACGTGTTATAGAAATTGAGACTAGTTTATTGAACATTGAAGATGATTTGGATAACTACTTTTTCAATGCACAATCTACTGGTGACATCAGTGTATTAACAGATAAATTGCAAGCACGTATAAAAAGTGCAAATACTTTAATTAAAGATCTAGATGAAATGATTGAATATAATTCATTACATTCATGTACTGATTTTTTGACCAATCGACTAGAAAGTTATAAAGCTCAATTACAGGTAAAAGTCAAATTATTATCTCATTTTATGTAACGATTTCTCAATATAAAAATATTACCAGAGATTTAATCATGAAAATGAATTTGTCGAGACTAGTCCCACTGCAATGAATCTATGTGGATTTTTCTAGCTTTATGATACAGTTATAAGTTAATGTTATTCAAATCAGTTATAGATAAAGTCGCCTTAGTCACACCTACTCAGTTGATCAAAGTGAGTATAGATCTCTTTGAGAAATGGTCTTGTCGATATTGTAGTTAACGAGAACACCAGGGGGAACAACCAAATTTATCTTAATACAACATTACAGAATATCTCGGTAAACTCTTAGAACAGTACAGTAATACTTCATGTGCAGAATATCCATCACTTGTCATAGACTTTTTTGTTCTTTCGTCTGCGTACCAATCACTCTTTGTTCTCAATCGCTTCTTTTCGATTTTCTCAGTTTTCTGCCGCCAGGTATTCCACTTACATTCGGCGGTACATCCTACTTATTTCTGTCAACATCACTAGTACTCATCACAATATGAGTTACTAGTAATTAGAAAACTTGATGTAGGCTAGCTGTTTAGATTGGTAATTACTATCAAACTCCAACATAATCATCCATCTAAGCTAAAAGTCTTCCTCTTCATCTCAGTAGTAAACTAATTTATCACTAAATCAATCCATTAATTAATAGGCTGAATATTTAAAGTGAGCATGGACAATTTCGTACATTTATACTTTAAACGTAATGCATATAGGTACTAGATTGATACAGAGGAAGTGATTGCAGATTTATCTACGAAACGATATTTTTTCCTTTGTCGTTTGCTATACAGTACCAGTTATTCTTAAGATTGAATAGGAGCCGTAAGTTTTATTTTACCATGTAAGTTTGAACTGAAATACTATATTGTGAGTTATACTGGAATATATTATGGTGTTATTAATAGAAGAAATACTCCAGACATTTACATTTAAGGTAAACAATAACAAATAAGGTAACTCGTTGAACGCTAACTATTTAACTAAAAAAACTTTTACAAAACTAGTTTTGTAAAATCTTAAAAACCGGGACATCTTTATCTGTTAAAATATTTCATATTTCAATGAAATAACTGTTTCGATGGATATTAACTTTAATTAGTTAGATATTCACTAATTATGATTACATAGAGAAAAATGAATTAAGGGATTATAGTAATTTTATTAATGTAAACCTGTGACTAGTAAATTGGAATGCATTTTGATGGATCCAGCTCAGAGAACAAAACTCCATGAAAATCATCCATCTGAGCTACAAATCTCCATCATCTCAAATTGGAATGCACCTAAATTCTACTCAGAACACTACAGTGTCTTTGTTGATTTATTAAAATGAGTTATATTTATTTATTTACTTATTTATTTGAACACATAAATATTGGTACAAAGGGGCACCGGATACATATGTGTCACACAAGTCACTTGATTTGTGTGTGGGCTATGATACTACCCAGGGTGTCTAGATCGAAGCAGGATTAAAATGAGAGTGTAATTTTTAATTACATCTTTTGTTATATCTAACATTTAATTACTGATTTAATGATTGATATTTTGTAATTTCCTTTATGATACAAATCATTACGGTTCACTCTTTCATCTTTATATAATAAATGCCAATATGGTTTTCTTGCCTAAAAGATCAAACTGAATGTTATCTATCTATTTGAATAATTCATGTATTAATGGTCGAGTTTTGGTCACTGGAAGATTATGATGAATTTTTACCGGATTACATTCATATGTGATCTGATGTTGTCTACGTTAGAAGTTAGTTTATTGTTTGTTATTAAATGTTTATATACTCTAGACATATCTACTAACCATTATCTTTTATTTTTGTTATTATAAATAAATGCTATTTCATATAATGAATATGATATGAATTTAGGAACGTGTTGAACCACTGAGTAAAATCTTACCTCAACTATCAAATCCTTCAGTTCATCAGTCAAGATTAAATAAATTAAACATGGAATTAAAACAAATCGAAAACAAACTTTGTAGGCTAGATGTTATATCTGTGGATCCAGAAGATATTAAAGCAGCAGTCAGTAGTGGACGAGTAAGTTAATTACTTCATTTAATTTGATAATGTTGACCATTATATACACCTTTATGTGAATGTAACAAAGGTTATTTAAATAATGAATAATATTCAGCAAGGTGATTTCATAGATAATTGGCAATATTTTTGAAAATAATTTTTATCCCAAACTGACGTCAGGTGAGAAATAACTGAAATTTACTGACTAATGAACAGCCATTTTGTTTGTCTTAAATCTCTCATCAGTACGTATACACAGCCCAAGGAAGTGCTGGTGGGACGTCTATGATCCTCTACGAAAGGTAACAGGCGTAGGTAAGTAAGTACGTATGTACAAACACATACCTCATGGGGCCAGCCTTCAAAATATCTACATTTCTCCATAAAATCACTTCGTTTAATATTAATAGTATGTTTATCGTCAATTAGCTTTGATATATATTTCCCCAAATTATAATCAGAAGTCATGGCCTATGAAGTCTATCAATTTCTAGGTGTTACAACATCTAATCAACGGTAATGAAGGAAGCTAATTAGGGGATTACCTCAATACTCTTACTTTTCTAGCCATACACGTACACAACTACTTAATTATACGTAAATGGCGTACTTTATTCTGATCATCTTATGACTTTCACTTTATTTGTTACGTGGTGCCTTACTGGTTAAGATATCCAAAAACTGAATCTCGGATTCGAGTCACTCCGTTTGCTTTAGTTTGCGAAGCCAGGTTGTACCATTAATCCTCGAATACATGGTACAACCCAAAATCTAGTACATGATTCTGTACTCAATGTGTTGCATAACTTATTATGCAGCCAAAAGACATATTTTACTGTAAAATATTTTACTAGATGTACTACAATAACATTAGTTATTTTTTAATCGAATTTCATTTGCATGTTTTATAAAAAATCCAAATAACTTACAATTTACATAAACTATATTCAGCGTTCATTTACATTTCATGATCACAAACATTATATGTTTACCTGATATGTTTCCACTTTATAACTTACAGACGATGCTTGCAACACTGAATGAATTAAAAACTGATTTGTTAAATATTATGGATAGTGATGAATCATTATATACTAATGAAAAATTAAACAATGAATGTTTAAGCATGTTATCTGAAAAACATAATCAATTAGTTTTACAAATTTTATCTGGACTAGAACGTTTAGATAAAGCTTTACCATTAATTGAAGAACTGGAACAACTTATGTCACAGATTAATGAAAATTTGTTAAGTGTTGAAGAAGTAACTGATTATTTAGAAACAGCTGATTGTCCTGTATCAAGAAAAGATTTGATTCAAGTAAGTTCTTTTTAAATATATATTTTGTGTTTGTATACATAAACTATGTAAATTGATTGGTTGATAGAAATGAATTTAAATTCACATCTACACATAAATTCTAGGATCAGTAAAGATTAGAAGAATGATAGGGATTTGTAATTCATTCTAGCCAAAAATTAGTCAGCAACGTTCATACTTTTGTCTTTAGTTTCGATTCAGTCTCAATACTTCAAAAGATGGTAACCAGTGCGTGAATTTCTAATTAATGAACTGGAACACACTGAATTCTTAATAAATGTTGGAAAACCACTTGTTCGTAGAATATCAAAATGGTGAACAGTTGAGCGATAGACTTTTTGAATTGACCGTTTTTTCAATTCGAATAGTTGAAATTACTATACTATTAATCTAATGAAAAAAATATTATAAAACTGTATATCTCTATATGTCAATTAGAAATTACACTTTATGTCACCTAGGAAGAAAATCGATTCACTCTTTAAAAGTGGTCTTAATTTGATCCGGCTAGAATTATCACAGCGGGATCGTTTTTAGTTATGGAGTATTTGTTTTCAATGTCGAATAGTTAACTGTTACTTATTAAGGGATTTATCCGAGTAGTGATAAAATATATTTAAAGCAATTAGTCCCTTTTATAAATTTCGATAATGTAATAAGAAGACGGAGATTATCACATAGTTCTGATAATCTCCGTCTTCTTATTACATTATCGAAAGATAAAATATATGTTATGAACGGTGTACAACTTAAATTAAATCAGTAATATCTAGTTCTCGAGTAGTACATTATATTTATTTGATCCCCATCATGCTTATAATCAATGATAAACAGTTTGAGAACGTCAGAGACGTACTTCAAATTTTGGTGTCATTTAAGTATATCGTTCATAGGACTGTTACCATCAATGCGTTTTAAACACGGGAAAATGTCAGTGTAATTTACACATCAATAAATCTCTATGCTTTCATAATCTGAGTGAAAATGTATGTTTTCTTTCCAAATAATTCTATCCTATGAAATAAATTCAACCTTTATTACATCAAAATATCGGTTTTAATGCCACAGTAAAACATTCGTTTCATATTATTAAATATCCGGGCTACTGACTAACAATAAGTAGTATAGATTAAGATCAATAATGGAAACCTGATATACTTCAGGGTAGTTTTATGTTATTAATTTAACACTGAATTCATCTGGGACAGAAGGAAATCCACTAGTAACATTATTTCAACAAAGCAATCTAACTTATTAAACAATAATTAAGTGTTTAAACTCATCATTTACTTTTTTTTATCTCATTATTTAGAAAATTTATCTACAGTTAACACATTTATGCCAAGAGAATGGTACAGTTGGTCAGACTAGACAAGTAGCTAATAAATTGAAATTATTGACACCGGTAGATAAACCAGAGTTAACTGCTGAATTATTTAATGAAATTGAAGACCATTTACATAGAGTGATCATGGCTAAAGAAATATTTCAATCACAAATGGATGAAGTAGAAAAGGATACGAAATGTAATGAATTATTAGAAAATCCTATAAACCAATTGAAATTACGCAATATTCATACACCTGAATTAATTGATAAACTAACGGTAAGAAATTATTGTTATAGTAAGAGGTTAATTAGTCTTTAAATATACCTACATATTTATGATTATTGAATCCATATGAATAGTGAATTTATCCTTTTGAATAGTTGGTACCCTATAAAATTGGTTGTTTTTAATAAAAATCATGTTAATCTCAACTGTAAAAATGCCTACAATCAGTTTAAAAAATCTGACAAAGCAATGCATTAGTGATTATTTCGTTGGTTATATTCACTACATTATTCGTGGTTAACTACAATGGTCCGATTATATAGATCATTATGCATATAACAATAAACTTCTGATTGTTCACACAAATAAATCTTGGCTACAGACATAAAGGAACGACTTAAAATTGAATATTTTTTATTTTTATATCATTTACGACAGATGGTTAAATATTTTTGCTATCCCACTGTCCTTGACCATAAGTTTTTTATAAATACGATGAGCATTGTATGAAGCATAAATTTACGGGTTTTGGTTAAACACTATAAATAAATAGAATAAATATTTAGGGAAAAAATCCCATTTGAAGATAATATCCTGATGTTTGTGTTTATTCTTTTTTATCAAACAATAGAACACTGTATTGATGATATCCAAATAAACTTTTTAATAACAGTTTAGCTGTAATTTTCACATCATTACCTCAACTCTAATTGGACCAATATATAATTAGAAGAATGATGTCAAAAGAAACTTTTCGATTGACATTGTTAGTACTTAACTACTTATGTGTTTTAGTTACATATAACCCTGTTGTTTTTCTAAAGTTTACGATGGGCCAGATATTGAATTTAATGTCTTTTCTATATTGTTCCTGATTTTAGTTTACATCAAATGTGAGTGGTAGGAACCTGTTAGTTTGATAAGATGTAATCAAAACAATTAATTTACATTTCTTCATTTAATATTCGATTATTTTGAGTAATTTAAAAATCCTTACAGGATAATCAAATTTCAAAACGTTACTAGTAATTATGACATCAATAATAAAGTAGAAAAACAATTGGTTAATTCTCTTGAGGATCTAAAATGAAAGGGAATAATTACGACTGAGATTCATGATTCAATTAAGCCGACTGAATCATATACACCACAACTGTACAGTCTGCCTATAGTTCATAAATCGGATCTTCATCAACGCTCAGTTCTAGATATGTACAATTTTCCTTACCACAAAATTGCAAAGTGGCTAGTGTTAATCTTAGAGCCTTTGTACAAATCAGTTGTTAAAAATAAATAGTTGAACGAACAATTACTTGGAATGACTTCAATTTAGGGTTATACAGTAATTAAACCACAATTATTGTATTACAATCCCCAAAATAAACCATGCAGAAACACGTTCTGGCTGGTGTAGACAATTTCATGCAGTAAAAACAGTGATATTTCATGTGGATTACTGTTTGTGTAATTGTTAAAGTCGAAATACCATTTAGGAAAGGAAAATAATTTGATGTGATTCTAACACTACTGTGTGATATAGTTAGAGAAATGTGGAAACGAAACGTATCAGTTTACAAGATTAAGGAGTCTAACTTTTCAATGCAAATTTGTGTATAGTAATTTGTGTTTTATGTGGTCGACATCAATCAGCCGATTGCTACAACATTCATGTTACAGATGGATCAGGCTACTGTACCATGAATACTGATGTTATTTCAATATTTTCACCTCTTTTGAATTTACTCCCAACGGTCCCATTATTAGTAGTTAGTTGAAGTCAATCGGCAGAAAATCACGAGTCTGAGTTTCCTGATAGTTGATACTCATCATAAGAGGGTACTTGAAGCCATAAGGAACTGACGTTAGTTACAACTTAGATTTCGCTGATTTGCAGTATAGAAGCATTACAGTCAGTTCATTTTTAAAAATCTTCACACTTTCGATGCGTTTGCATTAAACACGGTTGAATTACCGCCACATATGATTTTTTTAGAAGCAGTAAAATTCTATCAATCAATCAATATATATAAAATATGACATCGGGTAATCATAGTATCTACTTCACATGTTTTGTCTCATCCCCAGGTTTTCGTTTGCATATAATTACATTTGTGCTGAGGTTTTTATTGAAATTGTAAGATAGCACTTCTTACTTTAAACAACACATCGTTATCCACTAGGTTGTTTGGTCACAATAACCTACTCCTGTTCAACAAGTTCTCTGAAGATGCAGCTTACACTATGTTGTTAAAAGTTAGATATTTAATTTTCTAATCATGGGGACAATACAAAATATCATTAGTTTTATTATTAACAATTTACAAAATGCTCAGTTCATCGGTACTGATACTTCCAAACTAGGTCGTATACGTTTTTAGTTAACACTCTCTTTTTTCTCTCAAAATTCCAGGCCGACGTCTATTCAAATCCAACGATCAAGAAATCATCTGGTGATTACTTATTATCAATTAATCGTTTAATTGATAATCTTTTAAAATCTGATGCACAAATATCACCAACATTACAGAATTTAGCTCGAGAAATCCGGATACATTTCAATGGAATTATAAATTTTAACTGTTATTGTTTGGGAACCAGTGGAAAATTGTCCTTATCACAAAATGACTCATGTAACGAAGACTATCAGTATTATTCAGATAACATGGTTCTTGAAACTTCAGTCTCTGAAAGAAAAACTTTGTTACAGGTAATTTGAAGAATAAGGGAATGTAGCAGTGTGAAACATGAAGTAGTATATTCTAAGTTGATTTATAACTAAAGTATGATGTTTAAAATACTTTAGAATAAATGCTAAAATATTCTAGTAAAATATATTTGATTATATACATTTTCGATGACAATCTGTTTGTTTGATTAAACAAAAACATTCAAGTTGAATTATTCTTTAAATGATCAATTATGATAGTGATAAGGCTAAGGGTAAAACTGGAACATATCACTTTTATTAAAGAAAGTTTCATTAATTTGTGATATTCAACAATCATTATAGAATTCAGTGCATTAATTTGGATAAAGCATTTCATTATTTTCAAATATTTTTTCATTTATTAATTTGTAAATATTCAATATAACCGTATAGGTTAGATAAGATGTATATTGTAGTTTCTCCCTTTTACAACCAGTTTTTAACAAGTTCAGTTATTTCGGTAAAATGAAAAGATAGTTTTTTTTAAATACAAATTTCCGTCTGCTTTACACATGTCATCATTTCATCACATAATAATAATGTTAGTAGCAATACATAGTTACTTTTTGCTCACAATTATTGATTGTTTAAGCGATTAGATTAGCTTCATGAAGATCAGGTAACCACTGTTTACATACTTACACTTAAAGATAGCTTAGATCTCGGACAACGAATTCAGTCACAGAATAACAGTCATCCAATAATACCAGTTGAGCCAGGTTAGAAGTGTAAACCGTTGAACTACGATTCGATTAACCCAAGGTATTGGAAGAGGCATCAGATCCGAAGATTTTTTATTCCTCTTCTGTCAGGGTTGTGATTGATCACAGCTGATTCGCAAACTAGGATGAAGTAGATAACTAGTGCCAAGTAATTTGAAACTTCTATCTAGTTCAAGTCAGTCTGTGATGTATGTTACCTGTACACTAAAAGATTTTTAGAATACCCTATCTAACTATAATACTTTTTATTTTAAATTTATTTCACATGAATAGTTCTGGTTCCATATTGTATTGAATCATTCGCTTAGTTTTCAATCTTAATTTCAAATTAAATTTATTTCAAAATTTATTATAAAAACGAAATTATTCACTTAATTATTCAACTGATGAGACCATTTATTTCATAAATGCTTTCATTGACAAGACAGAAAGATATGATATCCTCTAAAACATTTATATCGAAGAAAACTGTACATTCTGACAGATATTTAAGGAGATTATGGGAAGCAATCCTGTTACGACTCAATCATTTATGGTTTGCATTGTGTATTGTTGAGTGGTTTCAAAAGTTAATTTTATAACAAAACACGTTTTGAAATCAATACACCAAATGATCAATTGAATAAAACACCATGACATTGATATAGAAAATTCAATGTTTATTCATCAAACAAGTCATATTCAAAGTGAGATAAAAGTTAAATGAATGGTGGCTAGCAGAGGAATCCAGGGCGTGAATTTAGTCCGATTCAAGATTCCTCCGAGTTGATGTTCACTCCGGGACTCGAACTCCGCACCGTTCGTTTTATATACTATCGCGTTATCCACTTACCTACTGAGTCTAGATAGCTATTGGCCTAAGCGATGGGTAACAACTAATGCGAATAAAATATCTTCAGTATGGGGTTGTGGAGATTGTTGAATATCACCATTAAGAACTCAGAAGAACTAGACTACCATTTTCTTCTAGTACGGGACCTCTCAGCAGTGTGCATCTACGATACCGTAGGTGGAAATAGAACCATAGTCCCTCGGTCTCGCGTGTGAACGCCCAACCTCTAGATTACCAAGCCTGTGTCCAATGGTGTTAATGACTAACTTTAAACAATCTAAGATATAACATTAACATGAGTTTACTAACAAATAGCCTCGAAAGGTAATTCTTGGAGTTCTAGTGAGAACCCCTGTGTTGAACCGTATCGAGTGCGAGGGAGTCACCTGCCAAAGACAATGGAGAATGGACGCTCAATGACGTGGATTGGTTGAACTTATACATTATTACAATTGGTTCCAGGTCCAGCGGTCTATAAATTAGGCGTTTGCACGAAACCGTAGAACCTTGGTTCGAGTTTCGAGTGCATGATAGTAGATGCGCACTGCTGAGGACTTCCATCCTAGGACAAAACGACCGTCTAGTGCTTCCAGGTTTTCAATAGTGGTCTTACGTTGATTGGTTCACGATTTCAACAAATGATAAAGGTTATAGCTCTGATATTTAACGCAGCTATTTGTTTGTGATTCGTTTGTCAGTCCTTGAAGTCATCTAACTTGCGATTACATATGTAATCACTAATAGATCATCAATACAGTAACTGAATACTAATATTTTTCTCTGTAAGACAATACGCCTGAAATAACTCAGAAAATTTATCTTGATAATTTTATTTCGCTGTAAACATATGACATGACTAATTGAATTAATGCACATATGTGCCAGATTCTAAACTACATATAGTTGACTGACCGAAATTAATTAACAAAATGAAAGATGTTTTTTTAATGTAAATGACATGATACTGAATGAAAGATCATATACGAAGGCGTAAATTGTTATAAAAGACATTACCACGTGAGTCTAACATTCTTTTTATCATAAATTATAAGGTGTAACAATTTACTGAATGACCTGTGATCGATTAGTTTAAGTTTTTGAATCCTTCGCAATCTTTTTCCTCTGTTAGTAAGAAATACAAGGACCCCTAGCAAGGCTTTAGTTATACTCGATCAGTAGTCGCATATTAGAACAAAATATTTAACCTGTGATTTCTGATTTCCATTAATTATCTAAACAATGTCTGTCTGTGACGGGAAACCTCAAATTCTTACTGATACAGTTTATTGGCTGTTTAGATCCCTAAATTTAACAGTTACCTTATTCCTTAATATTATTAATGCATCTTTTATTTAAAAATCTTAGTGACATTTTCATTTTAACATTAATTAATTCGTTTTATTTTAACCAGACCTACTTCAAATTTACAGAATCTGTAAGTATGAGTGTGTTTATGAGTATATATATATGTATATGTATGTATGTGTTACAGAAGGATACAGTAAGGGATTTCTTAACATGGAAAAAATGTTTGTTTTTTCTCTTTTAACATCTGACTACGCTTATGCTACCAGATATATAGAATTTTGTAGCTATTCTGTAAATTGCTTGTTTGGATTTAATTTTAATTCACTTCAGCCGCTTTTACTGTATGTGTTTTCAGGATATATTTTTTTTATCTTCAGTTTATCTTCGGGTTTCTTTTTTTACTTGATTAGATTTCAATTTAAAATTTACTATAAACAATATTGGAGTATCTTAGTTACTGTAAATTGAAAGGTTAATGTTTCATACTTGTTATGTTTGTTTTTATAGTAATTGAGTGTGTAGCTATGTGTTGTGTGGCCGTTTCGTGTTTTCAACTATTTCTATGGTGCATAATTTCCGGGATTAGGTTACCCTGCTTAGTTAACGTAAATTCAAAGATTGACTAAAATTGATAGGAAACCTGAGTTTAGGGAGGATTAAAATCTGAATGTATTGATTAATTAGTTCAATATTCCATTCAAATCAATTGCCAACCATTATTAGTAAGATTGTACAGAGATCAAGATAACACTGCATCATAAGGCAATTAGTAAAATTAATAATACAAGTAATAAACAAAAGAGAAAATAGTTTAGATAAAACGAAATATATTCACTCAAAGAATAAAAATCTCTCAAATATATTTAACAGATAAAGCTAATTAGTAATATTTTAAGGTTTGATCCAGTAAATACATATTTATTTTGTTGAATTTTAAGGCACCAAAAAGTTTAGGAATTTATCGATTATATTATTGAAACTACAGAATCGTAACTTATTTTAACTATAAACTAGATATTAAAGAGATAAAACGTATTTATAAAATCTCAGCGAAAGAATTTGAAGTAAATCCAACGTTTCACCTGGCATTCTGGTCTCGAGCTTTTTCAAGGAAAATATAATCAAACAACAAAATTATCGAATATAAATAGGGGTACATGGTTCTCTGGTTTACTGTATACTGAATAAAACATCCAATCAACGTGCAGGAGTATATTACATTATTTAACATACAATACTTTTATTCATCCTATGCATTAAAATAAATTAATTATTGATTGGAAGAATATTAATAATTGATGAATATTTGAGCGTAACCCATTTGATCCTAATTTTTGATCATAAAATTCAATGAAAATAATTATTCCTTATATTACAAAATGTGTTATCTTATTTAAAGTAAACACAAAAATATTAATTATAATGGTTTATCTAATATATGATAAGCAAACTTTGATTACTATTTCAATTTTAAATCGATCACCAAGTATATAACCATCATAATAATTTTCTGTGTAACTCATTATAGTTATAAAATTTTCCACAGAAATTCCCTACCCTATTTTATTTTCCTCTTTATTAATAAATTCTTGACATGTAACCATTTGATTATTTAACAGAGTTTGCTTGCCTAATGAATGTATGAATGGTTAGCTGAGCAGGTTTTTGAAATTTGCTTTAAATGTTTACAAATTTATACGAATATATTTATATGTGCTAAAGAGGGGTATGTATAATACAAGTATTTATTTGTTTTAAATATATATATATATGTAAATGTACATATTCATTTTGGCTGTATGACTGTTTCTTTCCAAATTTGGTATTTTTAATTTAAATACTTAAAATTATTTTCAGTAGTATAGTTGCATTGCATACTTATTTATTGCATAAGTGGTTGTGTGTTTGGGCTGCCATAGAACGGCTGATAAATGAAGTAATTATCACAATCATAATATCATATTATAGCTTTAAAAATTCACACAAATAATTTGTCTTATTTCTAGGCATTATATATACATTTAGGTACTCATTACTTATGAGTAATATGGTGCAAAGAAAAGTGGTGTTGTTTAATTCCAGTTTGAAATGTATACCTATATCGTTTATATTTGTTATTTTTGATCCTTTTTATTTTGAGAAAAGTTTAGATTTCATCAACTCTCCCAAAAGAGAGGCATCAAATATTTGTCTGTTTCATGCATAATGAGGTTTTTTCTATTTTACATGCTTAATCTCAATATTTGACAGTTATTCGCACAACAAAAATTATATCTGGAAGCACGACTAAGAGATTTGATTGTGACCGGTGGAAATAGTAGCTCATCTGACCGACTTGAAGATTTGTTAAATCTACAGGTAGGTTACTTGTATAAATGTAGATAGATTTATTTTTGTCGACTATAATAATGACTCAAATAGAATTGTGAAATCTTTATAACGCCCTTAGTTTATTTCAGGATATATATTGTGTACAGAAAAGTGATGATACATCTGCATATAAATGTATAAGAATGTCGGGATTCATTTCTTCACCATTTAAATCAACAATCTAAACGAACGATGGACCCAAAACTGAGGTTGTAACTGCATTCCGTTTACTTTTTTTAGAATATACAGTAGTATTCTTAGTCCTCACATTTAGAAGATCATAAACATCATAGATGTATATATCTATGCTTTAATTAAAGAAAAATTGTTTTGATGAGTGAAAAAATATCTTCTGAATGTTTTTCTTCTAACTGAAGATTGGTCATCTCTTTTCAAAGATTAGGCAGTTATTTTTTTAGACTGAATTGAATCAGCGTATCTTAACATTACGAAATAATACAAACACATAAAGAGGGATTGTTTTCACCCTCCGAACTGTCTATTATCTTCTTAATTAAATACTAGCATAACTGTCTTAATGTCTGTAATTTTTTTGTTTCTTTTTGTTTTAATAAAAGAGTTTATGGTATGAAACCAATGAAAAATTGGATAAAAAATTTCATAAAGCAACTCTACTAGAAGAGCAACTTAGTACGGCACAACAGTTATTAATTGATTATACTGTAAGAGATATTTATTTTTATTAAAATATTTAAATATTTTTCATCTAGATAAAAGATTTTTTTAAAATGAAACTGAAGTTAATTTTCATCATGACCGAGCATAAACTTATGAATTATTGTATACTATGAAGAGCTAGATAACTATTTTAATCGATTGATGATGCTAACTTACATTTCTCCACGAAATTCGAGATAATGTAATAGTCTAGTTGGATGGAAATAATTTATGGATCAGTAATATGAAAGATGATTGTCCATTTGACAGATATATAAAAGAATAATACAAATTAAATGAAGCCAGAACAAATATTGACGCAGAATAATATGAATCCATTATATTTCGTGGTTTCTCGTCAGTTGGTTACAACCAAATATGTATTAGAATTTTACATTGAGATAAGAAATAATATAGAACAATTGATATAAATGAATGTAAAGGATTAGAATGACAAAGATTATCAAACTATATATATATATATATATATATATATATATATATATATATATATATCCGGGCCTCGACCGACCACCTGTAGGACTGAGATGTAATCACAATTGGTTGATCACTGGGTGACAATCAATGTCATGTGTGTCAAACGTATCACAGAAAAATGAAAATGTTTATCTTACAATAGTGCATGAAGTGTCGAGTCACTTAGACTGGTGGCTACATTGCTACGTGATCGATAGCATTCGATCTGCACTAATAAGGACTAGACACGCATAACATTGATCACCACCAAGTGATCAATCAATTGTGATTATTCTGGCTTTATTTATATTCGTATAGGGAACTAATTGCATAAAAAAAATTACTCGGAGATGATTAACAACTGAGAAGTAACTATAAAATGACTAAACGAGTGTAATAATAATAATAATAAATTCTTATTAACAGTCTCATGATCGCTTTAGTGCATGATATCATTCATTATTCATTAGTCTAGCCTGTTTACTCGTTTTCGATTGAGATCATGAATCGACTGATGTTAGACCACCGTTAGGAACCTGGAAGCACTGGACGACCGTTTCGTCCTAATATGGGACTCCTCAGCAGTGCGCATTCACGATCTCGATCGCGGGATTCTAACCCAGGGCATTCAGTCTTGCGCATGAACGCTTAACCATGTGCTCACTTGTGCCTAGCTTCGTGAGAAAATTCTCGGAGTTCTAGTGAGAAGCCGTGACCAGTGGAGCTAATCCGTGTCGGGTAGAAACAGGTGTCTACCTCAGTACAATGGAAGATGATCGCACAACTTCGTGGATTGATTGAGGTTAGACAATAACACCATTGAATGCCGGCTCAGTGGCCCAGTAGGCTAAACGATAGCGCGCAAGACTGAAGGCCCTGGGTTCGAATCCCACGAGCAGGATCGTGGATACGCACTACTGAGGAATCCCACAATAGGACGAAATGACCTTCCAGTGCTTCCAGGTTTTCAATGGTGGTCTAACATCAATCGGTTCATGATCTCAATCAAAATAATCATCTATTATTTTCTTTTTTTACTATTATTATTATTATTATTATTATCAATATTATCGTTATCTCTTTATAATTTGTTACTAACAGAAAACTCCAACAAATGAAATTTATAATCAATGTATAAAATTATTAACAGAATTAGAACAAACTTATCATTGGAAACTAACATTAGATAAAGAACGATTAAAATATAAAGATTATTTAGATATCAATTATATTGATTTAAAAAATAAATTTATTACTGATGATTATATTCTATTAAATGATAAATTATTAAATATGTATGAAAAACAATTACAATGTACAAATCGTTTACTAAATTGTATACAAAATGATTTAAAATGTTGTCATGATGGTTTAACTTCGCAACTTGGTGCATATATAAATGTAAGATGAATTTTTGTTGTTGTTTTGTTTTGTTTTATATTTACTTGTTATTACATCATATATGTATTTATTAGTAGTTTTTTTTTTGGAAATTTAATATTAATATATTTTGTTGTTTGAATGTTATTCATTAGATCTAGTCTTTACTGATTGTTGTGTCGAAAACACTTATCACTTCTACTCGAAACAAAGGATTTCTGTGATTTCCATGAAGTGAAAGTAAGAACACAAAGACTGGTATAAGTGAAGATTTATTAAGCCGCGAAATACATCGATGACGACCCTATTCGAAAATATACTTATTAACATATTTGTCCATACACCCATTTTTGATGAATAATTAAGATGAAATCACATATATGAATAATACTAAGATATAACAAGTCATATAATCACCAACAAGAAGGTACAAGTAATTATAAATAGTCGTCTACGCAAGATACTCAATATCCATTGGTCGGATACCATCAGTAACAGCCTACTGTGGAAGAGAACTAATCAGCTTCCAGTTGAAAAGGAAATCAGGAGAAGTCGATGGAAGTGGATAGGACATACATGTAGGAAATCACCAAACTGCATCACAAGGCAAGCTATAACTTGGAATCTTGAAGGGAAGCGGAAAAGAGGAAGGCCAAAGAACATATTACGTCGGAAAATAGAGGCAGACATGAAAAGGATGAATAGTAACTAGGAATAACTGGAAAGGATTGCCTAGGACAGAGTTGGATGGAGAATGCTAGCAAGCAGCCTACGCCAATTGAATACAAGAATATCGTATATTATACAGAATAAAATATCCCACTGGAAAACAAAACCGAATACTACACTGAATAATGATGACATTGAATTAAAACGGAAGTTATGTTGAACATAACTCATAATAAGTAAATCAATTGAATTTTGACTTTTCTTCTCGTCATATCAGATATAAACAGCTAAAATGCTAAAATTAGATAATGGCCAATAGTGAAATGTAAGATGCGCGTTTCGTACTATATGGGACACATCAACTGGATGTACTTGAATTTTGAAGTTGATGTTCACTCTGGAACTCGAATCTAGTACTGTTCACCTCAAGCGTCATCATGTTATCCATTTAGCTACTGATTCCTGATAGCCAGCTGCTTGTGTAATGGGGTGGTTTTAGATTCGTTTGGTGTTGTTTACTTGTATCTTTCGATTGTTGTTTAGGACTGCAATTGATCAGTCTCTTATTGGCATATGTGCATTATGTGAGTACTGCTTCGATATTGCCTTAGGTAAACAATACCAAGTGAATAGTTAAAATTACATTTTATTATTTCTAAACAATTAATTGCTCGAATTTTCAACAAGTAAAAATTACAAAAAAATACATTGGTGCTAGTATAATTTATGGATGACTTTTGAGAGACGCATTGCACTTATGGTAATTTTGAATTACAAGCGACTGGGATTTTTTCGAATATGAACTCAAGCATACGATCATTGACAAATATGACACTTCAACAACTAACCACTTGATGAAACTCATGAAGAGGTCAGGAGTGCAGAAACATACTGTAACCTTAGTGGCACAGTGAAAATTTGAAGGGACAACGACTAATCAGGTAACGACTAAGAGCTGTTGAAGCAATTTTCTTGACCAGATTCATAATCTGAGCTCTTATAGTGTGATGAATTACTGTGCAAAGTTTTGAAATTTATCGAGAACAGTGGTTATTCTATGGCTTTGTCAGTCTGTTTGTACAGCTCTTTCATACAGGCGTTTATTATTCACGTATTAGCATCAAACCTTTATTATTCGATCGAAAATTCAACTTTCTTAGGATTGATTAATCACGATCATGTTAACGAAAAGAAGTAAGTATACAAAGACAATCAGAAATAAAAAAGAGAAGCAAAAGATTTACATTCTCAGATAACGTTCTTTATTTATATTACAGAGGCAAATAAAACAACTAAGAAGTTCAAAGATGTGACCTAATTTAATTTCATTTGACATGAAAAAACCTTGAGAAGGCGATCTGTGAAATTAAGTACTCCCATTTACTTATCCCTCATTTTTAGAATAATCAGATAGTAAACCTGTTATTAGTTATTCAACAGTGAATTGGACTACTAACTTATAATAACCATCATTCAGTTAGAATATCAAAGTAATTTAAATATTTCAACTTCAGTTGTACATAACAAATACATTTATTATTTCCTGGTTTTTTTAACCGCAATTCGTTAACTGTTCTCTTTGATATTTTTCTACTTCTCTTTTAAAACAGACTTTAGAAAGTGAATTACAGACCTGTAATAAATCTCTGATGGATTCAGCAAGAATCCTTCAAGAGATTAATGATGATATAAAATTAAGACGGAAAAGTCAAACAAATCAAATACACTCTGAAAATTCAGAGAACATCAATGTTCTTGAGGAAGATAATGATGAAATAGTTTGGTTGAAAGTTTTACTATCAACACAAAAAAACCGCTTAGATACTTACAATAATGAATTTGAATTGAATAAAAAGTAAGTTATGTATAACAATGAAATATATTACCCTCAACTGAGAACAAGATTTAGAACAGTTTTTCTCTTCAGCATTTAATACTTAGTGATATCTTATATTTTTGTTTGTCTCAGTTTTTTTCGATTTTATTTATTTATTTTATCTTTCATGACGTCAAGCCGTGTTTGTGAATTGCTTCAGTCAAAAAATTAATATTCTATAAATACACCTTAAAAAGAACATTTTAAAGGTTTGTAAAACATTATCGTTATGGAATATTATAACGAAACACGTCTACAGGGTGCTCGATAAGAAAATTATACATCATTTTTTAAGCTAATTGTATGCTGTTTTGTGACGTTAGAGATATAGAAGCAATCAATGCTTTGTAGTATTTTGCGCCGTGAAACGATATTTCTCCTTAGAGGTCTTGAAAGGTATTTTGGTTAGTATTGATCATATTATCGACTCAATAATGTGGGAACTAAGAGCAATGAGTTATTATTTTAGGCTGGTCATGCACTTCGCTTTCTTGAGTAATTTTTGAATGTTTTAGTTCCATACCTTGCAAACTTTATCATCATCATCATCAACAAATTTGTAGGGTAAGGGAAGGTGTGCTGTTCTCGAAGCTAACCTTTCCTTTAGTTTATGCATCGCTATAGATACATCCTATCAATAGGAAACAACTCTTTACCGCTACACTCTACTACAGTTAATAGTATGACTTCTACTTTGTTAAGTCAGTCTGTCATTTTTGGTTTCGTGCCTTCTTCTTTGGCCCCTACATTAAGAGACAATATCAAAGATCAAGTCGACGGAATTGTCATGTTGGCAAGCTCGACCAAGAAATAAAGGTACTAGATAGTATATAACTGGGCTACAATAGTTAAACATACAATTACAAATGTATTTATTAAAACTAATAAGTAATGTATCAAATTTACTCTCATAAGTTTTCATAACATGTTACACTTGGATACACTTCAACGTCATTTTCGAAATAAAAATGTATATATATAGATCTTATTTGATCAACATTTTCGTTCACAGGGATTGGCTTAAACGTTACCAATTATGGCAGTCATTTAATGAACGATTAAGAGATTTAAAATTGACAACTAACCATTTGCTGAAATTACAAAACGAAGGCGATCAAACAGAACTCTCAGATATTGAGGTAATATGATTATTGTCCTTTTTGTTAGGTTTCTTTTTTTAAATTTGCAACTATTAATCTAGAAAACATTTATGATCATCAGGTAGTAGGACACGTCATCATTTATAATTTTTAATTTTGATTAGTTATTACTATTAGTGCTCAGATTTTAATAATCCTGAAGTGTATAGTGATTAGGAATTTTATCTAAATTGTTAGATGTGGAGCCAACTGACTGTGATATTTTAGTCACTTTTGTGTAGAATATAATCATTTCATAGTGTATAATGTTAGAACATGGATTTTTTCCTAACATACACATCCCAGTCTATATATGGCCTTATAAAAGTAAATTCACTTTTTAAGTTCCTGCTAAGAGTATAATGCAAATAATTCAACTTTCCATACTGAAATTATTCAGTCTGTTATGTGATTTCAGTTAACACAGTCTTAACAGTATGTATCGATGCATACAATGGCTTACCAATAATTCGTCATCAAAATGTTTTGAAATGGTTACTAACCTGTCTCGTAATGATTATTGACTATTTTGAGGTTATGAAATTAGCGAGGACTTTTTAATTAGTACTTTGTTGTAACCATATTTTGACATATGCTGTAGAACTACGGAACAACATATACCATTAACTATATGCGGAATCGAGGCTAAAACACTTCGGTTTTTCAACGAGTAAGATTTTTGCTTTACTTCTGGTGTAGTCGGGAACTAGGACAGTACAGTCATTCCCAGTTTTCATTTCTTTCCGTTTCATATCAGCTCTTGGAGAAAATCATCCTGAAACTCTGTATTGTACATATAGTCAGTGTATAGGTTGTAGAAGAATAAACTGTTTAAAATATGAGAGGCTAGTGAGAGCTTTAAACTTGATAGTCTGCCAGTTGAGATACTGGTTTATTGTTATCAAATTTTTGGTAGTATATATATATATATATATATATATATATATATATATATATATATATATAGTTTGACATACAAGAACATCTTTGATTCACAGCTAGATTAAAATTGGCTTTAACATCTCGGATATCTATGTTGTCCATCATGCCTACAGTGTCTAAACATGTGATCATATCTTCTACTTACTATCACTTTTCCACTTTGCGACTATTATACGGAGAATTTATTAATCTAATTCAGTGAGTTGTTTACCGTTATAACGCTACAAACATTTGTGCTACACCTTAAATGACAAGTATTGTTTGCAAGGTTATACTACTTTTTCCTTTTCAGAAACATAAGTCCCAAACTATTACCGTCAACATATTGGATCTGTTTTGCCAAACACTTAATCCAGGGTCATCAAGGACTACAATTAGTGATTTTATTCCTTACTCGTGACTGAGATCGAGTTCCTGTGAAACTGAACACTGATTATTTCCTAGATAATTCTTGAAACATAAATCCAATCATTCGATTACTTGAAACCACACAAACTGAACCATTATGTCACGATCCTTAATTTAGAAACTATATACTGACCCATTATAAACTTGTCCATTATTTTCATGCAGTTAGTTCCCTTTATGAATTTAAATAAAGCAAGAACAAATATTGATGCAGAATAGTATGAATTCATAATATTTCGAGGTTTCTCGTCAGCTACTTACAACCAAATATGTGATAAAAAATTTTACATTGAGATAGTGTAAAACAATTGGCATAAATGAATGTAAATAACTGGAATGGCAAAGGTTTACAATAATAACTATATATATACATATATATATATATATATATATATATATATATATATATATATATATATATATGCTAGAACAGGTCAGAGGTTAATTGGTGTTAGAATTAAGGAGACAATTAAAGATGGGTGATGTAATAGTTGAATGGAGTTTATAAATTGTGTGATAATTATTTTAGAGGTATTAGAACAGTGATAAGATAGGTTACGTAATGATTGAATAAAATTTGAAGTTAAGATAATCTAACAGTATCAGTGAGGCGGAAATATGTGGATAAAAATTGGTTTAAGAATTAAGTTATGAAGGGGGGGGTGTGGAGGATAACAAAATAATTTTTTTAAAATAAATAAGTGAATCAAATAACACACACACAAAAAAAAATGGATTACCAGGATAATAATAAGTTAATTAGTGTCTCTTTTTGAATGCATAAATCCGGTTTAAGTTTTTTTTATTGCAATCGCTTCCGCAAAGCGGAGAGTAGTAGTACTTCTTTGTCTGTTGATAATTTTAAAAGCGTGCGAAATATCGATGATATGCCCGGTGTCAAGTAAATGCCGAGCTATTGCACTGTTAAGAGCCTTAGTCCCTCGCAGCCTCAAGTTCTTTGGAATATGCTCAGAAATGCGAACATGAACTCTTCTCTCAATTCTTCCAATGTATGTCCATTATTTACAAACTCAGTGTGAACAGCTTTTCAACTGACCAACAAATACATCGATACCTTTGGATTAGGGATTCAAAAATCTAGAAGTTTATGGAACTCTAAAAGCCGCAATTCATTATCAACTCTCCACAATTATTAGAGAACATTCTGTTCAAACTATACATTTTTATAATTATGGTTTCTTAATCTAATAATATAAATGCTTCCTATTGTTAAACAATATTTATAATCTGATCATTTCTCCAATTCTTTATTCAAAGGAGTAATAATAAACCAGTGAGACATTGGAATGTCAATATTTTAACTTATGTTGTTCTAATCTGTTGTGTTAATCTTTTTTATTAGTGTCATCTATGTTGTCATTGTTGTTTATAGCGGTGAATCTTTAGATAAAACATACAGGTAATGGAAAGAAAAATTGATTAGAGTTTTATATCTCATATTACTGGATGTAGTTATCTTAAATGTTAGTTAATACATTTAATAATAGTCTATTTTGAGAAAATGCATTTCATGATTTTCATTTATGAATAAAAATATCTGCCTTGTAATTTACTAGAAAAGTAGTTGTTTATTCTGTTAGTATAAAAGATTTTTCGTTAGTGAATCGATAAATTATTTCATAGTTTGTTGGTAACATTTAGTAGAGATAAACAATAAGGATAGTAACATAGATATCGTTCAATGTATGTATTGATAAATGAATCTGTTTATTCTCCAATAAACTTTGATATTCTATTGGAAATTTGTATCACATTAAAAATGACTTTAAATATTCAAACTCAATTTATTGGATAATAAAGTCACAATTAATACTTGAACTCGTTTCATGAATTAATATAAGATTGATTCTCTATCAAATATTTATGGTTGAAGTTAGACATTAACACCGTTGGATGCCGGCTAACTCAGTGGTCTAATGGTTAAGCGCTCGTGCATGAAACTGATAGGTTCTGAGTTCGGATCTCGTGGGGGGCGGAATCGTGAATGCGCACTGCTGAGGACTCCCATGATAGGATGAAACAGCGATCCAGTGCTTCCAGGTTTTCTATGGTTGTCTAGCATCAATTGACTGATGGTTTCAACTAATGAAATTTCTAAAATCTTCACAAAACCCTTTCTGAAAATACTTATGAGTCAAGGAAATATGTAGATGAATTAATAATAATCTAAGGCATAATGTCGCTAACTTTAATAATACTTCAGTAACCTTTTTTATCTAAAATGGAAGTAGAATGTATAGAAAAGTTTCTGTTATTTAGCTGTAATAGTTTTCAAGTGAAATCTTGTTAATTTTAAGATCCTTTTCAATGACGAATTATTAAAAAACTGAATAGCGATGAGTCATTAAAAACTCTTTGACATTACATTTTGTACTACTTCATAAAGAATAAATCAAAATCTTCAGATCCGACTACAGGTGCGAAAAAAATTAGAATCCAGTCATTCATCCAGATTACTAAATATTATGATTATTGTTCCATGTTATCACTATTCAATAGTTTCATTCACGAATTAATTGATTATACTAATTATGACTTCCTATTAAAGCTTAGGCTTGTGAACTATCTTTACTTACTTACTTACTTACGCCGATTACTCCTCGTGAAAAAACATAGGCCGCTTGCTAGCATTCTCCATCCAACTCTGTCCTAGGCAATCCTTTCCAGTTATTCCTAGTTACTATTCATCCTTTTCATGTCTGCCTCTATTTTCCGACGTAATATGTTCTTTGGCCTTCCTCTTTTCCGCTTCCCTTCAAGATTCCAAGTTATAGCTTGCCTTGTGATGCAGTTTGGTGATTTCCTACATGTATGTCCTATCCACTTCCATCGACTTCTCCTGATTTCCTTTTCAACTGGAAGCTGATTAGTTCTCTTCCACAGTAGGCTGTTACTGATGGTATTCGACCAATGAATACTTACATCTGCTTGATGATGGTTGTAGTAGTTCTCCAAGTTTCAGCTCCGTACAGTGTGAACTATCATTATATAACGACGCATACAACTAAAACCTAATTTCAATGGTTGAGATCATGAGTCAATTGAAGCTAGACAACCATAGAAAACCTGGAAGCACTGGATCGCTGTTTCGTCCTATCATGGGAGTCCTCAGCAGTGCGCATTCACGATTCCGCCCCCCACGAGATTCGAACTCAGGACCAATCAGTTTCATGCACGAGCGCTAAACCATTAGACCACTGAGTTGGCCGCCATCCAATGATGTTAATATCAAACTTCAGCTGATCCACGAAATTGAGCGACACGTCTACCATTATCTCGCGGGGTGAGAGGTCGTGGATGCTCACCACTGAGGATTCCCACAATAGGACGAAATGGCCGTCCAGTGTTCCAGGTTTTCCATGGTTGTCTAGCTTTAATTGTCTCATGATTTCAACCATTGAAATTACTATAATGTCCACAAAGCCCCTTCTGATAATAAAACCCAATTGTTTTAAATCATCATTTGGTCATATTATGTAATTAATTTTTTGAATAATTCAATAAGTATTAGGATTAACTTGTTGATCAGCAAGTTAAATAAAAGATATTGTTTCAAGTTAATTGTTAGCAACTATGATATACAAAACATTTTATAAATCTTTTATTAAAAATCAAATATTTGATTTATTCAGATCTCAAATAAATAAATGTTCAATAAATTTGTTGTAATAACCCAAGTTATATTATTTTTGTTCAATATGGTTATAGTGTTGTGTTATACTGTATGTACGTATATTTAAATGTGTATATTTGTTCAAATGCATACATTTTTGTTCAGTTTACTATGGAACATATTTTACAGTAGAAAACATCTAATTGTATAATGTAATAGTATTTATCATCTTAAATGATCTCTTTAGAAAATAATTAACTTGTTCTTTCATTTAATTTAGAATAAAATTAAAGACACATGTATAGAATTTGCCTCACTCCGACAACATAGTTCTAAGTTGATTAGTATGAATTCAACACGTATCAAAGCACCTGTTAAACAATATTCATTACCGTCTAGTACTGGGATATCTTCATCAATAACAAGTTCAACATTTACGGGAGCATTAGACCCAATAGCAACAAGTTCAAAAAGTTCCAATGATGAAAATGAACTAACGACAACAGATATTTACAATAAAGATAAACCCCCAACAGTTCCACCTCGTCGGCATAGTCTATATCGTGGACATACTATTCAGTCAATAGAACATGATCATGAATTCGTAAGATATGAATTGAATAGATTAGAAAATGAATTACTTAGTTTGTGTCGTAAATATGGAACATTGAACTACGTAACACAACCTTTAGCTGTTAAGCAAACCTCAAATACATCGATTTATCCAGAGAAATCAGTCAGTGAATTAAATCCATCACAACAAATAACTATTAACAAACTGTAAGTTTGACCATTTAACTTGATGACAACTATTAATGCTTTGATTGATTTATATCTTAAGCGCGTAAAATATAACTTTCACTGTTAATTGTTGAATAATACGGACATTACTTATGATATGAGAAAGTTCATCTCTGACTGTCAAATGATTAATTAACAGAAACGGTTTTTCTGTATGGTTGATGTGTAACAATGAAGTACTAAATCAAACCTTAATCATGGTCATCAGTAAAATTGCTCTTAAAGTGCTATACCACTTTATAATAATTATTCACGAACTTATAACAGCCAACCTAACAATCATATGAAATCAAATATGTGCCGCGAAATCCCACTTGATATCGACTACTTAGAAAACAACCTACATATAAATATGTGATTATTGGGGTGAGTTTAAACAATAACAAAAATGAGAGGAACGTGTTTAAAGTATCAGTATGAAATGCTGAATCGTAAAGTTGACTTTGGCTATTCTGAGGAAAAGGTATTTCGTACAAAAAAGTTGAGATTTGAATTAAAACTCAGCTTAATTGATAACATGTTATCTAAAAAATTTAAATCAAGTCACTAGTGACTACCTTCATGATGTATTTTCTGAAGCTCGAGTAAGAAGCCGTGACCAGTGGAGTTCAAGCGTGTCTGTTGTGAGGCAGTTACTCACTGAAGACAATCATGGATGGTCGCGCGAATGCGTGGATTGATCGAAGTTGAACATTAACACTAGTGGAAGCCGGTTCGGTGGTCTAGATGTTAAGCGTTCGCGCGCAAGACCGAAGGTCCTGGATTCGAGTCCCGCGTGTGGGATCGTGGATGCACATTGGTGAGGAGACCCATACTGGGATGAAACGGCCGTCCACTACTTCCGTGTTTTCTATGTCAGTCTAGCTAAAGTGGATTTATGAATTCAACTATTAAATATTCATAAATAGTGATAAAATGGAGGTAAACAGCTATTTATAATTCTATAGTTTTCAGCGAAATATTGTAGTAATTTCAATGGTTAAAATTATGAGTCAGTTGAAGCTAGACCACCATAGAAAACCTGGAAGCACTGGACGGCCGTTTCGTTCTATTGTGAGACTCCTCAGCAGTGCGCATCCACGACATCACCCCCCGCGAGATTCGAACCCAGGACCCACTGGTTCCGCGCGCGAGCACTTAACCACTAGACCACTGAGTTTTCCGGCATCCAACGTTGTTAATGTCTAACTTCGACTAATCCACGAAATTGAGCGACACATCCACCATTGTTATCAGTGAGTTACTATCTCACAACAGACCTGGTTGAACTCCACTGGTCACTGCTTATTACTAGAACTCTAGGATATACGTCTTGAAGCCACTCACTGGTGAGCATATGTTGATTATTATCAGAAAAGGTTTTGTAGAGATTGTAGTAATTTCAATGGTTAAGATCATCAGTCAATTGAAGCTAGACCATCATGAAGAACCTGGAAGCATTGGACATGTGCTCACTAGTGACTGGCTACAAGAGGTATATCCTAGAGTTCTAGTAATAAGCAGTGACCAGTGGAGTTCAACCAGGTCTGTTGTGAGATAGTAACTCACTGATAACAATGGTGGATGTGTCGCTCAATTTCGTGGATTAGTCGAAGTTAGACATTAACAACGTTGGATGCCGGAAAACTCAGTGGTCTAGTGGTTAAGTGCTCGCGCGCGGAACCAGTGGGTCCTGGGTTCGAATCTCGCGGGGGGTGATGTCGTGGATGCGCACTGCTGAGGAGTCTCACAATAGAACGAAACGGCCGTCCAGTGCTTTCAGGTTTTCCATGGTGGTTTAGCTTCAACTGACTTATAATCTTAACCTTTGACATGTTTACTGTTAACAATTAAAGAATTTAGAAATAGTGTTTTTAGGTTTCTTTTAAATTAAAATATTAACGAAATGTCTATTAAGGTTCTCATACAATATCAGATTACATAATTTGTGTCAGTATCAAAATAGTTTTATATTTAAAGTATTGCAGAATGGTACGTTACTTCAAAACAGAATTGCACAATTCTTTTAACATATCAGTTTTGATAGTTGTATGCAAGGGTCGATCTTCACAAGACCATCATTAAAAATCTGGAAGCACTGGACGGCCGTCTCGTTCTAGCATAGAAATCCTCAACATTGCGCACCCACAATCCTGCACGCGGTACTCGAACCCAGGATGTTTGGTCCCGAACGCGAATGCTTGACTTCTAGACCACTTATCCGGTATCCAAAGATGTTATTGTCAAAATTTTGATATGTAGGCCATATTAATCATGTCTTTAATTATGCTTTGATGGAGTTTGCGAACAAGAAGTTGGAAGCCAATGAAAATTTTTTGTTATCATCCAAAGTATTTTGCAAACTATAATGATTATTATTATACGTTTTTGTACATGTTTTAAAATAAAATTTTCGCTTAGGGTAGTTAAGGACAAGGATTTTATTTTAACTGTTTTCTTATCATGACATACGTTATATGTTTCCTGTTTATTAACTATTCAAATATTCTTTCCTTAAAGCAGGTCCAGTGAGAATAACACCGACCACAGCGATAAGAATAACAAATCTTTCAATCAAGTATTTTCAGTCAAAGAGATTCCAATTAATTTCGAACATTCATCTACGTCAACAGTGACCAACGACAAGGGGATAAATGAACAAACTGTCCAATCAGATGATATAAGAACATGTTTAACTGGATTAAATGAATCTATTGATTGGTTTATTCATGAGTCTTGTTTAATTCCAGTGAATATCTCTGAATATATGGAAAGTGGAAAGAAATTAGATGAATTTTTTATGGACGAACGTTTCTGGTGTATAAAATCACAAACTAATCAATCTTCAAAAAGTAATGGTACAGGTAATAAACGAATTGAAGTCAATAATAATTATGTACAATTGAAATTGAAAGAACTTCATGTAAGTCACTGGTAATAATTGATCAATTTTTAGAACATTTTAGTAAAAGCATTAAATAATCCATTTAAGTAATAAATGAATTGACTAAAAGGCTATTTTAGGTCATTTATTATTAAGATTAAGGTCTATTGATTCATATCTTTTTTTTAAAAGACGTTGAAAACTGATCATTATTGTTTTTTTAACTGAATCAAATGATTTGCGTTGTTTTTATTAAAACATATGTTATTATCTGATTCATCCAAAGATTGATGAAGTGTATTTGATAAGATTATTTACAGTAATATGTGCATGTGTTATTTTAATATTGCCTAGAATGAAACAGTAGTAACCTATTTTGTATATCATATATACCATATATATAAAGCAATTAACCCCTTAGATGAACTTGGATAGTGTAATAAGAAGACGAAGATTATCAGAATTATGTGATACATAAGCTCAACAAATTCCGAACAATGAGATTTGATAAAGGGGCCTATTAAATAGGAATGATCATATTCGCACAAATGACGCTACTGATGACAAAATAAGGTTGTTCAAACAAAACAATAATAGAAAGCGGTTATCCTTTAAAATTCATAAATCGATGGAAAGGTCAGAATACAGCGAGGCTTACAATACCTTTGGCAAAAATAGTCTATCTACATCACCTTACCGTTCAAAAGTGAGTTGAATAGCCTTCTATTAGAATAAAGGCTTAAATTAGGTAATAACAAAACGCACTACTCAGCAAAGGTCAACAAAGGATAAACAAGGTCCATGCTTCATCAAAAACCTAAGAGGCATGAAAACGATTGCGTCACATCCCACTGTGTTTACCAGTTTACATGTGTGTGTGTGTGACCATACATAAATAGGGAGGAGTAATTGTGATCGGCAAATCAAGATGTCTCAATTTGTACCTAAATGGCTGCAAAAACAAATGAAACCAAATGACCCAGTAAGAGTGGAGGATAAACATCCATCATCTGCTATTGCCAAACAGTTGAAACAGCTCATAAGAATGATCTTAACATGGCTTTTCTTATGTTGTACAAAAGTGTAAAATTGCGTATACTAAGGTTTACTGAAGCCTGAGCCATACGAAAATTCAAACCCTCTTTATTTATTCGAAAATGGTTTGTTCTCATCTCAAACTTAACCTAGTATTGTTAGCTTATTATCCGAAGTGATTAGGTTTCAAACTGTTTCCATATTATTTATTTATTATCCTTTTCTCCTTTTACCCTCCATTTCTAATCTAGTTGACCTTTTGTTTTTATATATAAATGATCTTAGCAAGTATATTACGTGTGATCAGATTGTTGGAGATGTATTAGGTTAATATATTACATAGTTCGGATAATCTTCGTCTTCTTATTACACTATCCAGGTCTACATATTTGTCTAATTCAAGTTAAATCAAGAGAGCAATACTATACACTGTAATTATTTTTCGGATTATATAAAAGTGTAAACTTTTTTCTGTATGAAAACTATCTATAAATTATAGCTTATAATTATGCAATGCAATTACATTGATGTTGACTATATGGCGATGAAAATGTAGGAATCCTTATTTTACACAAGTTTGATGATTCCTAAACAGCGTTCAAGGTAACAATCATGAACTTTGTTTAGTTAAAAAACTTCTAAAAAATGAAGATTCTACAATAGATGAAATGATTAATACTGGTTATTCTATGATAGGTACACTATCTTTATTGTTCATAATCACGATCTATGAAAGTTATGACCTACTCGTTACTTTTAAGTTATTTTATTGGAGTTATAATTTATTCTGATCTGTGATAATACATAACCTGTTTTACTTCACAAGCCTCTATTTCTGTTTAAAGATGTAAAAACTAATTTTGTTATTTTGAAGATTGATCTTTTTAGTAGTTACATGGTTTAGTCTGAGTTTAATACACGTTGAACCTTTGAACCTATACGAAGTGAAACCGACAACGTTCAGATTTTACTATGAATTAATGTTTAGAAACTTAAGCACAAAGTTAATTGTTAAAATTTTACAAACTTAGTTCCTTATGTAGAGCATTCACTGTTATACAGTGTTTAAAAACAAATATCAATCTTGGAATTATTATTATTAAACAGAAAACTAAACCTGTTAGTGGTAATTGGTTATGAAGAAATAAGTAAATTTGTGAGATATATATACATACAATTTTACTTCAAGGAAGTACTATAATGGAACAACACAATCACTAAATTACTTGGAGTAGTCTCTTACATTTCGTGATATATTAGCTAACTAAGATACTTTAAGATCAAACAATGGATCGAGTTAATGTTTCTAGTTTTATTTGTGGATCTCTATGATTAATAGCTCATTTAAATGTTCTTTAAATACATCAAAACACTGTTCTCTTTTGTCAGAGTTAGCCAAGAGTTGTACAAAACCGTAAGCTACAATTGAACAGTTTGTGCAAAGGATACTTTGTTTAAAAGGAAGTGACTCGCAAACTATTTTGATAAAATAATTGTCGTAAAGGTTTTAATGTGGTTAAAAATAAATTAGTAATCTGCATGCGAAAAGATTTTATGGTGTACTATTGTTATCAGAACATAGACTATAATGGTTATCAGTCTTGTAACCAATACTCACATTGTAACTATTCTCAGGTACTATGTTTATCCGTGAATACAAGTAAGAGTAATAATGTTAAGTGAAATTTTCTTTAATCATGTATATGTCGGAAAGCTGTTAAATATATCACTCTCTTGAAATAAATCATACCACAGTATTTTACATCGCTCTCAAACGGAATAAATTTATCAGTCTCGCGCGCGAGACTCTTAGGTCCTGAGTTCGAATCTCGCGGTGGCGGGGTAGTGGAGATTAAATTTAATCACATAATTTTGAATATTTGACGTAAACATTAAACATAATGATCAGAATTTTATACGTAGCAGAAACCTTATACCTTGTTGTTTTGCCTTTTTTTTACAGAATACTGAATGGAAATCAACGGACTGGAGAAATTGTATAGAGATATTTAATGATAAATCCAAAGTACTACTTAAATCAAGTACATTATCAGATCATAGTGCAGAATTAAGTCAATTAGAATTAGCATGTTCTAAATCAGAAACTATTTTAAATTTCGCTTTTAATTCATTATTAAAATATCGAGAAATTCTGCATACATTTAAAACAGATTTAGCTAAAATTGAAGGATCTATACGACAAATTGAATTAATTAAAAATTCAACTGAAGATCCGGATCAAATTATTCAAGAATTAAGTATAAGTAAATGGTTAAAAATTTTATGTGAACAAACAAAATCTCATAAGTCAAAACGTGATGGACTTGCAACTGTAAGTAGTTTATGATTAAAAGTTGTCTTCCATATTTCTCCATCTATTATCGTTTTCGCATAATGTTCATTGGTGATTCATGTATTTGTAACTCATCTACTAGATACAGGTATTCATATTTACTTTTGGGTCACTATATATATATATATATATATATATATATATATATCTGTGTTTGAATGTCAATGACACTTCCAGATTACAAATATCAAATTAGGTGGAATAGAGTTTGAATCCACAGTCTATGTTTACTGTGTGACTAGAACATAGTACCGTTTGCATCAAACGTCATCACGTTATCCACTTAGCGACTAAGGCCTAACAATGGTTGTAACTTATGGCAATATCGAAACAATACGCACATATGCCAATAAATAACTGATAAAGTGCAGTCCTAAACATCAATAGAAGATTCAAACAAGCAATGCGAAATGAACTAAAAACTATTAATTGAAAACTATTGTTTCACATTTGTGAAAAACGTGCCTTTTATTTCTAAATTTTTTCTTAAATCGTTTATTCTCAAGTACTTTAAAGAGAGGGAGGGAGCATTTGGTCCCAAAGTATTAAATTAGAAGTCGTATTAATAACATTTCATTACTGAAGTAAATAAAAATTTACTGTGAACAGATAAAATATGCTGTAAGTTGTACAATTCACGATAGTAGTTCATTCCTAACTATTAAACCCACTAACATTACTTGAATCAATTAGTAGTAAATTGACACTTTCATAATATAGTTGACCCTTGCTTGTTATTTATTACCATAGAATATTTCCCTTGTAGTCTTAGGTTTCACTGGACAACTTAAGATTCAGAACTTTAAAAGTATTGATTCAGTACATTTTTATGAATAGAATGCATCAATGTAATATTCTATTAGGTTTGGATAATTTTGGAATTATTCATTTACATGTAATTGAAGCATCTAATTGTACTGTTAGTATATTTGGTCAGAAACTATAAAAACAGACAATAAATTTTATTAATTAATATCTCATATTCCAGAAATCTTATATCATAAGGACAAACTATTCTTAGTTTAAATGAAAGTAAAACTTTGATTAAAAATTTTCGTAAGCATAAATGAATTACATAAGTTAGATTTCAGGGTTTACTTAATCGGCAACTGCAACTATCTAACTATCTGAGTAATCAGAAATAAATAGATGAACAAATAAACTGGAAAAATGGAAGGAAACGTTATTTTTTTATTATGTAAAGATATTGACTAATATGTGTTTCGTACTGATTCATATACGTATCACTCCAACCGATTTCAAACTATGATATACAGAATCGTCTTAAATTTCATTCATTAATCTCAGTTTCGTAGTTTTCAAGAATATTACATGGTCACATATATCTACCTGATAATGTCAAGATTTGTATTGTACATCGTTTACGATTTGATAAGTTGAAAAAGCTAGTTATTGAGATTCCCCAGGACATAATTCAGTCAACTTTCACGGTCTCGTTTACTTATATAGGTATTTTACTTTACATCTGTGATGATCTAAAAGGACTAGTGATCCAATATCGGTAAATGCATATGATATGCGTCTGTATTTACTATTTTTGATAACCATACGGTATAACATAGTGTACTACTACATGAAACATATATTAATTAAGCCTAAATTGTAAAGCCAAAAAATTCCGAATATCAAGTTTCTAATCTATGTTTTATCGACCACCTGATACAATTCATAACATGAGTTCAGAACAGCTCGGGAACAAATTTTTGTACTTAGGAATCGACAAATGCAACTCGGAGGTTCCGCATCTTATTTTCGGTGAGTCCTTTATTTTGTTAGCCTCAGAAAATTTATACGGGTTAAAGAACCGACTATTAACGTAATAGTTTCTGGAGATTCTGAATCACTGATTTTATTTAAAGCTAATAAATATGAGTTTGAATCACGAACTGATTTTAGCTAGACCACCATTGAAAACCGGGGAGCACTGAGTAGCCGTTTTGTTTTGGTATGGGACTACTCGGCAGTGATTATCCGAATTCCCGCATGCGGGACTCGAACCTAAGATCTTTGGTCTCGTACCCAAACGCTTAATATCTAGACCACCGAGCTGGTATCCAACAGTGCTAATACTTAACTCTAATCACTTCACAAATGCCGAATCGTGAGTGCGCAGAGCCGGAGAGTCCTATACTAGAACGAAACGACCTTCTTAGACTTCTAGGTTTTCAATGATAGTCTAGCTAAGATCAATTCGTGATCCAGATTGTGAATGTAAATATAGCAGTCCAAATTTAGTGTAGAATTAAAATTATTATCATAATTGTGTGACAAGAGAATATTACAAAGAATTCGATGAAGGTGTAGTTGTTATTTTTAATCATATATCAATAGAATAGAAAAATACTCCATCAAAGTTGCTTGAGAACTATGTAGTATCATGCTTCACGATATCATGCACACGATTGTTTCCTGGTCAATTATGTCTTTAATTGAAATGTTTTAAATAACTGGTAAAAATTTATCACTCATGAAGGTTATAAGAATGTCAACTTTCGACGATATTCATCACATACCTTAACATTTCACGGCATCTAGTGCCAGATTTATCGACATCGTGTTAATTTACATTATCATGTTTGTAACCGGAGATACTTAACAGTGATTATTCACTAATTTATTCACTTTATTCTAAATAGTTGAAATACGAGTTAGGACGTTTTTTACATCAAATCGCTAGAAGTAACTTAGTGGTATTTTTATTGTTCTTTCAGTAAGTATACCTCATAATTTGTTGTTTGTATCCGTATAGATGATATACAGTTTATGCTAAAAGGTTTAATGTTTCCAAATTGAAGTGACAACAGTTTTTCTGTAGAAATCAGTATTGAAATAACCATTCCCGGTAAGATATATCATTTAGAAAATTGTATTGATATTCCATGATGAAATTTTATCTTAGTCACGATGATCAAAAAAGGTTTACGAAAAGGAAAAAGATAGTCACTGCGCATAACGCAAGTGGTATCTTCTTAGCATTTGTATGACATACTCTTAATAACATGCGGGTCGTGGCTGGTAGTACAGTCTAGGACGTGTGTTTTGTCCTGATTGTGACTTATCAGCTGAATGTATTAGGATTCTAGCGTTGATATTCACTCTACGATTTAAACCTAGTATGTGATCATGCATCCAGATAACTTATTCAATGGGTATGGCATTTTATATTATTGGCAAGTAACATAAAGGGCATCGTGAATCCTACTGTTAAATACAATCATCACATTTTGAAATGATTTACAACAAGGCTATTCACTCAACATGCAAATATTTTAATTACCTAAACACCAACTCCTACAAACAGTGTACCATAAAAATGTTTTGATTTATTCTGTTAAAATTTATTTTAAATAAATTTACGTTTCAGAATGAATGTATCAAAGAATTAGATCCGCAATATGGTAAATTAGGTATACAGTTAGTCTTACTTGGCAATCTTTGGAACACTGCACAAAGTCATTTATGTGAGTTAAATCAAAAGGTTCATGATTCAATGGAATTTACATATTCTGCATCAATTCAAAATTATGTTCAAGATATATTAGATGAATGGAATCATTTAAGCAACACCTTACAATTACCATCAGCATCATCTGAATTCGTCTCTACGACAACACCGATGACAGAAAATGTAAGCATCATTTACTTATTTCGATTTTCTTATAAATTCAGGGGGACATGTGAGGATGAGAGGTTATTTGTTGCTAACTTTTTAGACAGCGGTTTGATTTGATGTACAGACAAGATTGAAAAATGTATGTTTGCTGTTGTTATTCTTTCAAGGTTACTGTATTTCAGAAAATCTTTGGGGTCAGTATTTGAATTTTTCATATTATAGAACAAAGAATGTTGAATTACATTAGGTATAATTCAATACATGAATATTTTTAATGTTAGATGGTTGGAGGCAATTAAAAGGAAGCTCTAGATCTAGTCACCGTACTAAATGGCAGTCATCGGTAATATGCTTCTACATTCTTAAGGAAACTAATGCATCTCAAGGGACTTGTAGTCAAATGGTTTGTTGCTAAACTCTTCAGTTAATAGAACTGGTCAACAATCACAAGTTCTACCATGATTTTCAATTTCAGTGGGTTTTAAATTAACCTTATTAACTATTGCCAACTAGCACGACATATAAACTTAGTATCGTTTGTAAAATTTTGTAACCATTTAATATCGAACAAAGTACACTACAAGATTAGGCCATTTAGCTGGGTAACCTCATAACAACTTTGTCAATAGAAGTGGTTCACCACTTAAGACTACATGGCAATTAATGCTACGTCTTATTGGTTGAAATATTGTCCATAAACGAGGTCATAAGAACGTTCTTATGTGTGAGATCTATTTTAGAAGATTGTTGGCCATAAATCGTGACTATTTGTTGTTCTATGCATTATGCATGATCAATCAAGTGCTCTCTAAAATAGTTTAATTTCGTGACATTGAGGAAAATTAGCTTAAGCATGCATTCGACCGACAGTATTTAAAATTAGTAACTTCATGTTGAATCAATAATTGAACATTGAATGGGTTAACTAAAATATCATAAAAATCTACTCATATAGTCGACCCTTGTATTTAAAATGAATAGATTTTAGACGACAAAATAACCGAATAACACTAGAATGAATAAACCAGTATTTATACGGAAATCAAAATTATTGGTTAAATTCAAAATGCTTACCTAATGTAATATAACCATGGATTACTTCTCAGTTAGTGAATAACTAACTAACGATAGAAGATTAACTCTGTAAAGTGTTTAATAACCGTTTCAATTATAAGGGTGTTGTAGCAAGTAAAATAAATTTTTGTAATGCTAATTTTAGCATACTGTAGTGGTTCGTGATTAACCAGAAAGTACCTTTCATATCATGGGAGCATGCAGACTAATTTGATTGTGAAGCATTGAAAAAGTAAATAATCGAGTCAATTACCCGGGAGCGCACAAATTATACTTACATTTAATAAAGAAAGCAATGAATAATAATTAATAATAATATAAGTCTCAGAATAAAACAATCTAAAAATATAAACTAGAATCAAATAGTTTAATCTGCTACATAGTCATCTACCAAGTGATATATCTTAAGACTTAAAACTGTTTCCCAGATCAAAATCAGATGATCGATATCCATGATAAATGTTTTTATTCATTAATATTTATAGTATATGATCAAGTCAACTTACAAATAGTTCGTTATGATATTCTCAAATATTACTACAGATAAGATTTTTTTAGACTACCTGGTTGGGGTCCACGAGATGATAGCGACCGATGGTTAGAGACCTTGCATGACATGGCTGAAAATCGTTTGCAATGGCGCAGGTGTATCTACTCCTTGTGTTCTCCCAAATTCTAATCTTCTGAATTCTTCATGTCCTTTATTTTCTTTCCCAATTTATTTCACTGGATTATACTCCTTGAATAATATCTTCAACCCCTAACCGTTCGGATTACTACTTATACTCTTACTATCTCTACCACTAAGGGATTTGAATTGACATCTGCATCTCTGTGCTAATGTGGTATGGGAACTCGAACTGATTTACGTACGTACGAAGTTCCACGTTGTTACTGACTGATAATAAGTATATTACAATTTATGTTTATATGATAATATTTTGTTTCTAATTGTTATAAATAATGAAATAATACCCTAACCGATTAAATATTTCAAATAATTTTGTATATATATCTAATATATTATGGTTATAATTTGTAAATATATAAATAATTAGGAAATTCTTCTAATATAAGTAAAATCTAAGCGAATTAAATAAACTGAATACTAACACATAACAACATTACAATTTTGACAATCCACTGTTGATTAAAGAGAGTGGAGATAGTATTTCAGAAGACTTTTACGCTTAAAACTAGGAATAATTAAGTAAACACATTACTGTATATATTATGGCACATAATAGCCAATAAAATTGGTTAGAATTATGTGACCGAAAGACAATCATGACGTTTATCCAGAATTTTCATATGAATGATAGGGGTAAGAAATCAATGATACATTTTACAGAAATACATTTATAACAGATGGGTAAACTTACAATAATATTGATTATGGTTAGTCGCAACAACTATATGATTTAATGAATAAAACATTTGAAATTATCATGTTTCTTTAGAATTAGGAATTTTGAAGGTTGGTGAAATGTTTATAAATAGTTTATTTCAATATAATTTTTTTTCTTCATACATAACAGTGATTAATTTATTGAAAATAATTAATGATTCATTGAAACAATATGATCTCAATCAAAAATTAATAATTTTTATAACCCCTATATTGTTAATTAACATGAGCTCATAAGTCACTAGCTTCGTGAAGGAATTCTCGGAGTTCTGGTAAAAAGCCGTGACCATTAGACCTAATCCATGTCGGGTAGAGACGGGTATCTATCTCAATACAATAAAAGATGGTCACGCAATTTCGTAGATTGGTTAATGTTAGACACTAACATCATTGGATGACGGGTCAGTGGTCCAATAGGTTAAGCGTTCGTGTGCGAGACTGAAGGCTCTGGGTTGGAATCCCGCGGACGGAATCGTCGATGAGCACTGCTGAGGAGTCCGACAATAGGACGAAACGGTCGTCCAGTGCTTCCAGGTTTCCAGCCGTGGTCTAACATCAATGTGTTCATAATCTCAATCAAAAACTTAATTTCCACAACCTTTATACAGATTTAAGTAGTTATAAATTATATAATTTAAATATTATAAAAGAGTACTTACAAGATAAACAATTATGAAAAGTATCTAAATGACTTTTATTATAAAATATTCCCAAAAATAAATCAACAGTTCATATTACAATGAAAATTTTGAAACATTTTCAGTAATTTAACAATAAATCTACATGGTTTTAAATTGTTTTTAACTTTTTTCCAGTAGTATTGTTTGAGTTAATATTATACACTCAACTAACGAGTCTTAAACAGGACGAAACGCGCATCCTGAATTCCACTGCTAGCCACTATTCAACTTTGTTTATTCATTACATGTTTTTCAATGTTTGTGTGGTTAACGGTATGAAATTTTCTGCTTTTTCAAGAAAACCTTACTGTTTATTTTATAATCGATCTTTCCTATATTCGAAAACAAACTTACTATACCTATAACTTACATGAAATTATGAACCGATCAATGTTAGACCAACCCTAAAAACATGGAAGCATTGGATGAACGATTCGTCCTAGTATAACGCTATTCATCAGTGAGCATCCACGATCCAACATGGGGATTCAAACCCAGGAGCTCTAGTGCGAACTGCTTAACTTCCAACGATGTTAATGTCTGAATTCAACCAATCCATGCTCGTTCAGTGCTTCCAGGTTTTCAATGGTGATCAAACATTATTCGCTTTATGATTTTAATGAAATTCAACAATCTTCACAACCCCAAACTAAAAACATAATATACTTCGTTTATTCCTACTAATATCAATAGGTTACTCAGAAGTAAACTATTTATCGGACTAATTATTTTTTGACATTTTGATTGAAATCTATAAACATTTTGTATATGTAATATACATTGATTTTACAACAGATAAGCAAAATTTGGATAACTGAATGACAGTGAATATTCCCATTTTGAAGTTTAGTATCTAGGTGTATCTAGGTGGTACATTTCTCAGTTTTATTTGTAAAACGTTTACCAGGAGAGGATCCAACGGTGACCCCATGACCAGACTATCTATTGTTGAATCGGGTGTGAACATTCATCAGGCATCTAAGAAAAAATCATTAGAAAAAATCATGTACATACTGAGTTAGGTGCGTTGTCACAAGGCCTTAGGTTTTCAAAAAGAAGTTTGTGCAACAAATCACATCGGTATAGGAGTGGGTTTTCAGATGAACTTTGATTAAATCCTTTTCTTCAAAAATATTCAAACAATTTTCTAATTTCTTCCACTTTTTTATTTCTATGTGTTTTTTTCTAAATGTACCATACAGTGTAGCAACTGTTTGATTTTTTAAACAATTACTTTGATTATTCTAATCATTTTTTTCAATTAATCAATATTATTTTATTAAACGATAAGACAATTAATTTATGTCAGAAATGGTTTTATGGAGATTTTAGAAATTTCGAAAGGTAAAATCATGAATCATTTGAAGCTAGATAACAACAGAAAACCTGGAAGAACTGGACGGCCGTTTCGTCTTAGTATGGGACTCCTTGACAGTGCGTATCCACGATCTCGCCCCCTACGAGATTTGATGACATGTAGAAATTCAACAACTACACTACTAAATAGAATTAATATTGTGAATATGATAAGATTGATGTAATTAAACGGTTTTATCAAATAATATTTTATTGATCTTATTCCATGCATTCATTGGTTAATCTACTCTAATCAAACTATTCTTATCATATCATTCACTAATAAAAGTTCCCAAGAGAGATTAAAAATTTATTTAAACATTTCGAAAAGGTGAAAAAGTTTTGTAGGTCGATGATTTAGACGGAGTTTTGTTCTCTGAGCTGGATGGTTTGGTTGTGGAGCTTTCATTGTTTTTATGAGTGACATTATCAGGTACTGTGTTGATGATGTCGGTCAGCAGCACAATGAAAGCTCCACGACCAAACCATCCAGCTCAGAGAACAAAACTCCATCGAAATTCACATTTCTTTTTCTAAATTAATTATTACTGTTTTTATGCCGATTATTTCACACATCTAACAAATTTCTTAATTTCCTTTTCTTTTGCATGATTTAATCACTTTATTTATTCACTGGGTACGTTTACAAAACAAACCAATAATTATGACCAGAAAATTCTTCTTAATAATAAACCAGTATTAGAGAATACAGTTGGAAGTCAAACAATGAAAACCATAAATGAATCTGTTTCTTCCTCAGCGTTAATAACAAGTCAAATGAATGAATGTTACGCGACTAATACTACAAAAACAGCAGATACCTTAAAATCACCACCAATAACTGCAGTTATTTCTAATCCATCTGAAACTTCATCTTCAGTATCAACTGTAATATGTCATAAATCTATATCACCTATATTGAATCGTATGCGTAATGAAATACAACAATTAACTCGTTGGTTGACTACAATCAAAAATATACTTGAAACTAGTCAAGCAAAACTTGGTGATCGATTTGATCAAGATACAGAAAGTCAACAATTACAAGTAAATAAAAAATACAATATTAGTTTTAACTTGAAGTTTTATTTATCTGACTGATAATTCAATACATTATAGTTGAATTGAGATTCAGTTTGTTACAACTTCTCCACATGGTTTTAATGAGGTTCATTGAAAAGGTACTAAAGGCCAAGGAGCACCGGATGAAATTTTCAGTTTAATTTGTAAATTGTTCGCTATTAGCGATGGAAAACTTTTACTGAATCTAACCTATGGAATTTTAATTTTGTGCCATTGGCCAATCATTTATTAGTGACTAATGTTATGTCTGCCTGGTCCTTTAGTGCTGATTGAATTCTGTAGATCATAATGTAACATGATCACTAGTATTATTGACTTGACACCGTATGTGTTGTATTGAAATGCTATGTGGTTGACCGAAGTTTTGTGCCAGATGACACTTGTCAGATGACGAGTTATCTGACGATATTATTAATTATTATTATCATCATATTCATTCGTTAAGTACTGAATAAACGGATATCTAGTCTGTATATTTATTAATATAATTAGAAAAAAGTGATCTGTGTATTTTTCTTTAATTTAAGCTTGTCATTTCTAATCTCTTAGATGACATCAGTCACCTCAAGGTTACTGGTACATCTTACTGACGAGTGCCCACTAAAATGAAAATTATTTTCGGGAATTTCTCTCGAATACGTATAACTAATTAACATGTAACCATTAAACTATTAAGTAAGCTTATTATGATCCTCACATTTTATTATGATAAGTTAGCGATATTGGCTGTTCTTTTTACTCTAGGCATAGTTGACTACATTCATAATAGCTTGTTTTCAGAAATTTGAGAAATTTATTTGCAAGTTTATTTATCTGCATCATCATCATCTAATTTGCTAGGGACAAATATAACTTTATAGTTTAATCATAAAATGGCATACAATATGAACATTAAATTTTGAATGATACAAATAATTAAAATTTCATGATACTGATTATCAGTCATCAATAGAATCAAATCAGTAATATGTATTCAAGCAACAAAAAAATAATAAATTACTCTAAATTCATCTATTCAAAATAAAATGATAATATTATGATGTTGAATAAATTTCAATTGAATAATTATTTGATATACTACTGATATTCAGTAGTATTTTGTCATCTAACTGAATATAGAGATGATTATTTTCATCATTTTTCATTATATGATTAATTATTTACATATTAAATCTATAAAAGTATATAAGTAATAAATAATATAAATATTTAAATATTTTTTTGAATATATAGTTTGTTATTCTTTCGCCGCTATATAGATTGTTCAGAGAGTATATATAAATAAGCAATATAGAAATATCGAATACATTCTATTTGATAATTTATTAAAACGAGTGGATGTTTAAAAAGTAAAACATCATTATATGTTGAAAGGAAATAGTAAATTAGTCTATTATAATATTATTCAATGTTTGTTATTATTATTATTATTATGGAAACTATTCATTAAAAACCTTTAGTAAACAACTTTATGTAAATATAAATATCATGTAAATTTTGTTTACTCTAAAGTGGACCCTGATATCAACTAGATTCATGATTAACAATAAACAAATAAAATCAAGATATAAAATGTGGTAAATTATATTTGAATCAAATATTAATTCTAATAATATCTTACTCCTGATAAAATTTTAAGGTTTCAGTTTTGATTCTGTATAGTATCATTAATATATGTTGTTGAGAACTGAAACAAAAAAAAACACTACACCATTAGGTGATTATTCATAGTTCTTCAAATGATGTTAATTTGTGATGAAAATTACTTTCATATTTTAAAATATTACTGAATTTTAGTAAACTACAATTCATTACTTTATAGATAAAAATAATTCAGTTCAATAGATTTTGTACACCCTTCGTATAATTTGCTATCAGTAGTGTAGTTCAAATAGCCTAGGATAAATGAATAATTCATTCTGTATGTATGAATGATAATCAACTTCCTAACGAACTATTGAATAATAAAATAATGATATGATTTAAACTACTGATTTGTTATCATAAGTAGTCTCAATTTATCCATAATAATGAATATTATACGTTGTATGTCGTGACAACGTAGGTACTATTTGAAACAAGTATATTCGTTCAGAAACTAAGATGCACTAACTAGTGACTAGCTTCGTGAAGAAATTTTCGGAGTTCTAGTGAGAATCCGTGATCAGTGGAGCTAATCTGTGTTGGATAGAAACAGGTATCTAGCTCAGTACAAATGAAGATGGTTGCGCAATTTCGCGGATTAGTTGATGTTAGACATCAACACCGTTGGATGCCGGCTCAGTGGTCTAGAGTTTAAGCATTCATACACGAGACCAAAGGCGATGGGTTTGAATTCCGCGAGCGGGATTGTGTTTGCGCACTTCTGAGGAATCACACAATAGGACGAAACGGCCGTCCAGTGCTTCTATGTTTTCACTAATGGTCTAACAGTAATCGGTTCAAGCAAAAACTTAATAATCTCCACAACCCCTTACTGATATTTATTATTCATTAAACCAAGTGTTTTTGTTTTTAAATAAAATACCGAGCTGAAGTTTAAGTAATAATTTAGGTAAATAAATCTTATAATTCATTATATTTTCGTGCTACAGTTTCGTTCATCTAACATAGATGAGGAAACAGACAGTATCGATCAATAGTACTCTCTGTCGAATGGTTTTGTGACAGAACTATGCATGAATATCTGTTTCTTATATAAGAGAGAGAAAATTTTAATTTGCAAAAAAGCAATCTGAAAAAAAAAGTTTCAGTAAAGTATTATTAATTTATTTGACTCTATTAAATTCTTACCAACTTTTTAAAGAATAATAATAAATCATACATTTATAGGAAAATAAAGCTAGTTAGATGGTAATGTGAACAAGTGTTGACAACAAGCGTGTTATAATTCATGAAGAGTTAAGTAAAATCAGTATGATGTTCTAGTTCAATTACTTCCATATAGGAATTTTTTTGAAAGATAAATATTAAACAGTCAGACTTTCTTCTTTTTAAATTTTTACAAAACTATACCTAATAAATAAAGATAATGGTTAACAGTGGAATCCAGGACACATGTTTCGCCCTATTTAGAACTCGTCATCTGGGCATTCGTTCGGGACTCGAACCCATCTAAAATTTAATTTACATTCAGTTAGTAACAATGATTAGTCTTTTTTTGTTTATATATCAGAAAGGTATGCCTTTTATCACATTTGATTACATTGTATATCTCAACTTTATGTAAATCTTAATATGATATTTGTCCATCGAATTTATTTATTTGGATGCTTTATTATTTAACTATTACTCATTATTTTCATTGAATTACATAATTGTTCAATTTAATCTCTACTACACCATACATAACTGATAATAACTAACAAATTTATGCAATATAAACCAGATTATTATCTTTGTTCTCTTCAATTTAAACTAAATGAAACGATGTACATTATAAGATTTTTATTAAATTTACTGTTAAAAATTACTATTAAGGTCTTTTTTTCTTCATATTTAATTGTCATATTTTATAGCAAATTAAACAAGCTATAACTGACGGGATTTTGTCTGAAAAACTGGTGGTCTATCATCCAGCTACCATACAGCTGAAGATAAAAGTAAGTTAGATAAATGATTTTTTATCTTTTCTCGTTTATTTGTATTACTAACTATACCGTGTTGTGTGCTACTTATATCGATATAAGTAGAATATGACGTTAGTCAGGAACAGAATGTCTGGCAACAGAGAGACAAGAAGATTGAATAGTAAAGAATGAAAACAGAATGCAATTTGTATGAAAATGCAAGAACAATGAAATCTGAGTTATTTTGAGACAATTGATGGACATTTTGCAAATTAAGCATTTACTATATGATTGTTAGATCTTATTAAAAAGTCCTGTAATTATGTAACAGATACATTCGATGGTCCCCACTGGTGTTTTGTTCACTACAATACTACTACTATGAAATAGCATAGCATTGTATATTATGAAATTTCCAAATGATTTGTGATGGATATGAATTACTTAATAACTGTCAAGACTATAAATAAATTTACTGCACCGTTTTTTATTTAAGAAACGAAATTTACCAAAAAGAACATGTTATTAATTTGACTTTATTGTAATCGTGAACCAAACTGAGTAGGGATATAATGGTGTTAATGTGTAACTTTAATCAATCTACAATATTGAGCGACAGTTTTTTATTGTCTTTAGTGGGTAACATCCTCACATCTAACACGGTTGAACTACAGCAGTCTAGGTTTCTCACTAAAACTCCAAGAATTACCTCTGGAAGCTGGTCATGATTAAGCACATGATAATATTATCTTGTGCATTGGTTGAAATTAAACATTGATACCATTAGACAACAGCACAGTAATCTGGAGGTTAAACGTCTGCGCTTGAGACCAAGGGACCTTCATTGAAAATCTATATTTTTTATACCTCTTTTTTTTCTTTTTTATTCTTATTGTGTTTCCGGCTTATCGATCAAACTGAAAATTTTCTTTTTTTAAAAAATCCAATTCCATTAACTCTTCGTCAATGAATTCGTTATTTTTACTAAAGGTATAGCAGTCCTCAAACTGTTCTTTTTAGTATAATAGAATATTGACTTTTTTAAATGAAAACTATTACGTAGATGAGATAAACAACCTGATTGGTATTAAAATTTTGACTACTTAAAAGCAATAAGAAGTACGATGTAGTAGAAAAAAAACATAAATTTCTAATTTTCTGATTTCCTGAGTTTAAGAAAAACTATTTTCTTCTGTAATTTTGTGGAACAGAATAGTCTATTACTTATTTAATTATTTTCTACATTTCATATAAGTGGAGATAATATAGAGTATAATCTTTGACTATATTTTATTCTGTGGTTAGTAATACAGAATGTTCTAAGTTAGTAAACTACCAAGAAACTGGAAACATTGAATAGTACTCTCATCCTAGTTTTTGATATTATAGCAGCACGCATCAACGACACTACAGAGGATCGAACTTAGGATGTTTATTTCTCACGGGAACCCTTTAGTCTTCAGATCGCTAAGCCAGTATCCACCTATTTACATGTTTCACTCCAATCAGTCTAACTGTGACGACGGACCACGGGTGAACTCGAGGAAGCTATAAGAGGCTCAGAAGGAGCCGAAGATATTCCATCCAATCACCGTTAGGAAGGATATTCTAGAATCCCTATGTGTAGCTTCCCGATTGGACAAGGCTAATAACCCCCTGTATGCGGATTGGAGGACTATAATGATGATTTTTGTTCTTACTAAAACTATAAATACCTGACAATTTGTACCCATAATTGACACTGTTTGGAATAACATTCCTTTCACTAGTCTTCTGTCTTCTCTTTGCGACTTGGAAGGGTTTGGGCGTTCGTGTGTTCAGTTGTACGCGTTATATCAAGTAAATCAACCATTTCTAGATATAACACTAACATTGTGTAGCCATATTCCAATATCATCGGTGAGTAATTGTATCAACCTCGAAATGGTTGGAATTCACTAGACATGGCTTCTAATGGGAATCTAGTGAAGTGATTCTTTAAATAAATTAGCAGTGAGCACATGATTATCGTTGGTGTATAAGGTTTGTGAAAATTAGTGAAGTGGGATTCTGTGAAATTTGGATCATTAGATACCCACTGATGGTTTAAAGGTTAATATATTCATGTGAGACCTGAAGATCCTAAGTTAGATTCTCTATGGTGTCATCAATGCGTACTACTATAACGTCAAGTACTAGAACAAGACAGCTATCCAATATTTCCAGTTTCTCAATGATTGCCTAATAAACATCATTACGTAATGTAAGCCATAAAACTTAACAATCTCCACTAAACTCCTACATTTAGTTATTTTATGTCATCAAAATATTTACCTTCTGTTCATGGTTGAAAGTTATATCAACAGCAATTCAGTTACATTACATCAGACCAGATTAGTCACGATAATTAAATATTGAATAAATGATTTTTATTATGGTATGACGAATGATGTTTGTATACTTAGATACTGTTTAACGTTACGTTTCTAGTTCAGTCAAAATATAATCTCAATATCTTAAATACCAAACATCATCAAATAAGATGATGTTTTAAATATAATTGAGGCGTAAATATCACTTTATTCTGTTATTTAAGTCAGTATAGTTTCAAAATAGTAATCTACAAGTCAGATATTTTAATTCTGCCAAAAAAATCATACTTTCATTAATATTTCAATTTTCAGTTCAATATCTAAATATGATACTATTGATCTTTCATAATGATCACTTTTACACGAAATAATTTGGTGAAATGAATGAAAACTTGTTTGATGCATTTGAAATCTCTACTACGTTTATACTTATCAGTGTATATATAAGTTTGTAAGTGGCAAAATTTAAGTCAACTAAGTTGAAAAACAGAGGTATATTCGTCAATGACAGTAACCTGAAGCAAAGTTTTATCTCGAAAAAGTAGAGGTTGGAAAAGCGTGAATTAATGGATTTGTAATTAAGGACCAAATAATGTAATACTAATTTTTGGGTGTTGAACATCCTGGATGCAATACAAAATAGGATTTTCTATGTGCACATTGAAGATGGATTCTAAAGATCAAACAATACAATAGTTCTTATTATTAGTTAGTCAATGTTAGTGATGAAGCATTTACAAAAAACTGCTAACATAAATATCAATACAGTCAAACAAAATTAGAATTCATAAAAGTGTCCAATGTTTAGGAACACATAATGTTATAAATATGTAATTTATTTACAATTTCACAGGTTGAAATTGATCACTTTTCTGTTTAAAATATTTTCATATATGTTTGGCCATCTATACTCAACTATGAATAAACGGGATTCCTGGATTTAACACCTAGTTACAATACAAATGTTGTAAAATTGGTGGTTTTATACTGATACTAAATGTTTAGAGACAATCAACAAAAAGCGCTCTACCCAGGCTTCGTACTATTTGGTCTACGTCAGCAAGGAATGACCACAACCTATTGGGAACAGTGTATACGTAAAAAATTAGAACCAGCATCACTATGTGTCGTAGTTAAAGACATTTCCATCCAGTTATTTTGGTTACAGCTGAAGTTCTGTATCACCAATGATGAGACAATATAACACTGATTACCAATTAGTTGCCAGTAGCTGTAAATATCTCGGTCCTGTTGGAGAGTGGTAACGGAGACAAAAGCTCAGTAGTAAGGTTTCCAGCAGTAATATTGGGAGACGGGTTCAAACCGGTGACTGAATAATTCCTTTGCTGATGACTGTCAACTAGTACAAATCTTAGTTCTATAGTTATAAGTTTATCCGATCTAACTAACAAACGTCAAACTGCGCCTGCCAAGATGTTAAGTTATCCAGTTAGTAACTATACTGGGACTATATATATTACGTAATTAATATTAGAGACTAGATACTTGAACATCGGTTAGTATTAAGTGATCAATGTCCGAACAGTTATAAGCTCTTTTTTAGTAGGTTGGTAATAACATCTGAAACGTAGGTATCAGTATTTGTTTTGTAATTTAAACTCATTCAAAAAGATAGGATTTCATGTTTTAGCTCATGTTAGAGTTATCTTTCTTAACATACAGTAAATAAAAAGTAAACTCAAGGAATAGTCAAATTTTCATGCTGTGCAAATTAGGGTAATTTATTAAAACAAACATGATGTCTATTTACAATAGACGAATCGATTTTTATAACTGGTTAATTATGACTATATTTGATTACTTCAATAGAACTCATAACTTTGTTTATAGTTAATACTGTCAAAAAACGCAAGTGAATTCATTCGTTTAAAGAACAGTTAAAATAATTTAACTGGGTTTTTCATCTCGAAATTTTATAAAAGAACAACAAAGAAAACATAACTAGCAAACAGACAATCAATAACTGCTTATGTTTGATCTCAAAAACATATTTAAGTTAACCATTTATTTTTGTTTTTTTTCTCTTCTATCTTTTCTTCCATGTCTTTCACTGTCATTTGTCTATAGAAATATATCTTTATTTTATGTTAAAAGAATCCTGAGATTAAATAAATTCTGCATAATTACCTACCTGTCTATGTACATATATATAATGCATACCTTGAACTAATTTAGAAGAAATTAAAGTTAGTAATCCGTGATCTACGCCGACAATACATTATAGAATGTAATTCAAGCTTTTGCCTAATGGTTATAGGACTTAAAAACAAAATTTTTAAAAAAACATAAGAAATCATTCAATGCTGATGGAAAAATTAAATGTGCATTATAAATCTTCAGTACATCTATATATTATCATTAGTAGAGAAACTTTAATATACATTAACAGGACTTTTCTTTTATTCAATTGTATCTTCCAATTGTTATTTAAGACTGCAATTGATCAGTCTCATGTTGGTATATATGCATCCTGTGCGGATTGCCTCGATATAGCCTTAAGTCACAAGCTTTTTAAGCAAAGACGGACAGTGGCATTCTTTTTTTGTCATTCCTTTTTTGCTTAAATTCTCAAATTTAGTTTAATACATGAATATTGAATTATTTATTTAATGATTTACTAAAATCGTATATGTTAGACCAAATCTAAATCAGACATACAAATTACATTACGAATTCAGAAAGTATTCCTTCAATTTGGTTACTTAAAATGTGGGAAATTTAAAAAAAAGGAATTTAAAATTGATTGTTGTTTTAATAAATGTAAGATGTTAGATAAAAGTAAATAAAATTAATATCAGAAGGAGTTTTATGGATAATATAGTAATTTCAATGTTTGAGATCATGAGTCAATTGAAGCTAGACCACCATGAAAAACCTGGAAGCATTGGACATATGCTCACTAGTGACTGGCTTCAAGAGGTATATCCTAGAGTTCTAGTAATAAGCAGTGACCAGTGGAGTTCAACCAGGTCTGTTGTGAGATAGTAACTCACTGATAACAATGGTGGATGTGTCGCTCGATTTCGTGGATTAGTCGAAGTTAGACATTAACAACGTTGGATGCCGGAAAACTCAGTGGTCTAGTGGTTAAGTGCTCGCGCGCGGAACCAGTGGGTCCTGGGTTCGAATCTCGCGGGGGGTGATGTCGTGGATGCGCACTGCTGAGGAGTCCCATAATAGAACGAAACGGCCGTACAGTGCTTCCAGGTTTTCCATGTTGGTACAAAGGATAGTATAGAATAAAATTTCTATGGCAGACAATCAAATGATATCAAGAATTGTAATTAAAAGTCATTATGTTCATCCAACTTGTTTAGTTCTACAAATATTGTACAACATAATTGTCCATAAGGATCTACCCTCAATTTAGTTAAAAATAATTTATGTATTTAGATAGGCTAATAAAATGATGCTATTCTATCGTGTTTATTTTAATTAGTTCAAGTCATTCATATGGATGTTTAGTTACACATCTTATTTACATTCTAATCAGTTTGGAAAGTAACAGTCTCGTTTTTTCATTGCTTTATGATAAATTTTGTAAATATATTCTTTCATCTTCAAAAATGTGAATTTTCATAACCATGGTATATTTATCAAATAATCAGGATAAAAATATGTTATTGGTCATTATTTCAATAAGGAAAATCTATAACAATGTGTGATTATCCCCTATTAGAAGCTGAGAATATTTAATTTTTCTAACTTAATTAAGAAAAAAATGTCATGTTGCTTTGCATATAGTTTCCTAGTAGAGATGGTTATCATATTGATCTATTTCTGAAAGTTTCCAGTCCGTATAAATTATTTAATTATGCCTAGTATGAAACTTTGTGGTTTTACTCATCATATGATCGTATATAGTATAAAATTTATTCGTTTAATTTCTAAAGTGGTTATCAAAATGACTGCATATATCAGTCAACGTACATACATATATAAGTATGTTGATGAGGAGTGTCGACGAGAATGTAATCTTGGTTCATAGTTTTTTTGCCTATTACTTCTAACCACTCAACGTCTACTATAAGTCGAAACGGTATCAAGTTACTTTGATTAATGATCATAATTCAATCTGTAGAATTCAGTCAGTACTGAGAAATATGAAACGTGATGTTGATAGTTACTCAATGAGTTGCGAATGTAAAAGACACCGTTGGTTATTTCCAACTGTATAAGGAAAAAATTCCAAAAAGATATATATATATATATATATATATATATATATATATATATATATATATATATATATATATATATATATATATATATATATTAGATATATAGTCATGAAATATGGCTTTCATGCTTATTTTCATTACATATTGGAAGCCTTACAGAACTCACGTCAAGTGATTCAGAATAAAGACAACTGATATAGTGAACTACTAAGCACAAAGCTGATTTTCAATCCATCTGTAATTGTCGTGCATAAAAATTCACGATCTCGTACTAACTTATTACCCTATATTTTTTACTGGACAAACATCAATAAGTCAAAGAATGGAATACTTCTATCGATTAGTTTGCTTGAATGTAACACTGTTTACTGATTTTCACAGTGACAAATTTCTTGGTTCATAACTATTCTTTACTGGTATCAACTAAGAATAAGGGAATAACTGATAAACTGGTTCAAGTAATCAGTTTATGGAATGATCTAACACCAAACTCAATGATCTCCATATTACCAATTTTATTACAATACACTGTAATCATTTTTCTGCATCAATATCATAATAGTTAATTTCACAGGTTAAAGTATTTCATCAAAGATAAAAAAACGCTTAATTAAAAGATAATCACTCACAAACATTTGGTTTCTTTATAGTTACACGATTGTAAATATTTGTTTATCTTGACAGCTCTTTAGTCTAACTATTTGAGAGTAATTATCAGCGTACACTTAGAGTTAAGGTCTGTAAATCAATTTGTTTAAAAGAATGATAAAAGTCATTTTTAAACTGAACATAATCTAACTATATAAGTAAATTATTCAATTGGTTTAATGTGAATTCTTATTTATAATTTATATCATTAACATCAAATGCAGTTGAACTATTCTTTTTCTTGAATGTACATATAAAACAAAAGGAAAAAAAATTTCTTTTCTTCTTTTTTCATAGCAATTTCTGACAGAATTTGAAGCACGTAAACCTCAAATAGAAAGAATACATTATGAAAAAGAACGTTTATTATCTTGGACAACAAAAAATCCTTCAGTTGAAGAATTAACAACACAAAGTATGTTATTGATATATGATAAATAAAAAATTTTTTCATTTTATATTTGATTTAAATTTTTGTTTTTTTTTTCGGTATAATAATTTTTTTATATATTTGTGATCTGATATTTTCATAAAGAAACAAAACTTAAGAAAAGAAGCAACCTGTCAATATGGATAACAATATAAATTATGTAATTAGTTTGTAATCATTTGTATTGTTGTTGGGTTGTATTAAAACTTTTTTAGAATTATATTCATTAGTCAATAATGATGCCGGCTAAGTGGTTCAGTAAGTTAAGTGTTCGCGCGCGAGACTGAAGGTCCTATGTTCGAGTCCAGCAAGCGTGATTGTGGATGCGCACTGCTGAGAAGTCCTACAATAGGACGAAACGGCCGTCCAGTGCTTCCAGGTTTTCAATGGTTGTCTAACATCAATCGGTTCGTGATCTCAATCAAAAAACTTTACAATCTCCACAACTGATTATTTCAATAGTTGAGATCATGAGTCAATTGAAACTAGACTATCAAGGAAAAACTTGAAAGCACTGGATGACCATTTCCAAGTTTTCTATGATGGTCTAGCTTCAATTGACTCATGATTTTAACTATTGAAATTACTATAATATTCACTAAACCTCTTCTAATAAATAATAATTAAAACTTTGGGAACTACCTCTCAAAGGTAGTCATTAGTAAGCATATGATAATATTATATCGTGGATTGGTTGAACAATAATGCCAATAGTTACTGACTCAGTAATCTAGAGTTTAAGCGTACACGAGCGAGATCATGTGATCTTGGTTCAAGTCCCACGTGCGGGGTGGTGGATTCACACTTTTGAGAGGTCCCATACTAGGACGAAACGGGTTTCCAGTACTTCCAGCTTTTGAATGGTTGCTTAATGTAGATTGACTGGTTAGCTCAACTGTTGAAATTCTACAATCTCCGAAAATCCCCATACAGTAATTTAAATAATGATTACAATCATTTTTATTTATTACATCAATTACAAATATTATTGATTTGTATGTATTTATGTTTTAATTAGAATAGGTGAATCATGAACTATCATCCTATTTAAGTATCCCAATGCACTTATGTGTACATAGGTAAATACATTATACAAGAAAATAATCACAGAATGCATCATTTCAAATATTTATTTTGTTGGAAAAAATTCAAACATTCTATGTTGTTTTTAATCGTTTACTCATAACTATTTGTGCAGAACACAAGAACAACACTTATAAGATACATAATTCAGGTTAATACTTTTGAACAAGTCGAAAAAGTCAAGTACGCTAATGTCAAGTGTTAATCACAGACAGAAATACCCTAGAACATATACTAAAATTACAAAGTTATTGATAAAATACATAATATACAGTTTATTCTAAAAAAAATCTAATAGTTAAGTTCATGAGTTAATTAAAGCTAGACCACCATGGAAAACCTGGAAGCACTGAACGACAGTTCCGTCCTAGTAGGAGTCGTATACTAGGACAAAACGGACATCCAGTGCTTCTAGATTGTACATGGTGGTCTAGCTTTAATTAACTCATGAACTGAACTATTAAATTACTAAAATCTACACTAAATCCCTGCCTGATAAAAAGGCCGTTGAAATCTCATACCTTTCATTTTCAAATAATAAATACACTGATCTGTTGTTGATTAGTAATTATCAGTATAGGATTGTAGAGATTGTTGAGTTTTGATTAATTTCATGAATGGATCAATTTCAGACCACCATTGAAAACTTGAAAGCACTGCTGAGGAGTCATACACTAGGACGAAACGGCTTCTACGTTTTCAATGGTGATCTAACATTAATTCATTCATTATATCGATTAGTAATTAATCTCAACTATTTTATTCTTTAGCTAAATATGAATTTTATTAGGAAAATATAATTGACTACAATTGGATCTATTTCTATTCAAATATATATTCATTCTAAAATAGTATATTGATCGATACAAGTACATATTTCATCAACTTAAAAATATTCTTTCCTGTAAGATCTATTTATTGGTTTGTATTTTGATCAAGAAATTAATAAAACTGATATTGAAATATATTCTGCATAGTTCAACTAGATAAAATAATGTCAAAATGCAAACAGAAATATCTTTGAACATTTAATTAATTCGAACATTGTTTTTATAGGTAACTGATATAAATCGAAGAATTGTAAGGATTAGAGTTTACTGACTACCTGTTTCATTAGCAGTACACAATAAAAATACTAAATACAATGGGTTTTAAGTCCTTTATGTTTCATAATAATTACAACATCACTTAGCAGTTAAGCTGCACTTTAACCGATGACATTCTCCAAATATATTTATAAACTGGTAAATATATGTTAACCAGTAAATAGATTGTTTTAATTATCTTATCAATAGTACAATTAAAGAGAACTTTATTTTTGTGGGCTCTTCTTTCCAATTATTGTTAAATACTATTCATTCTTTTGATGTATGCCTCTGGTTCCTGGAGCGATATGTTCTTTGTTCTGTCTCTTTTCCTTATGCCTTGAGGATTTTAAGTTAGGGCTTACTTTGTGGTGCAGTTTGACGATTTCTGCAATATATGTTATATCCACCTCCAGCATCTTTTTCTAATTTTATCTTCAGCTGGAAGTTGGTTGTTCCCTGTCAAAGTAGACGGTTGCTGGTGGTTTTCAGCTACCGGTTTAGGAGTATGTTGTGTAGACAAATTTTTATAAAAACCTGTACCGTTTTATGATAGTTGTTTTAGTTCTCATTTATATGCTGACGTAGTATTATATCTCCAAACTTAGGAACTTTATCATCGAAGAAATATCTCAGTCAAAATAATCACACAATCCCTAAATGTAATAAAAGTCGAAACCGACTCACTATATATAAACGTTTTTTTATGATACGTTCGTAAATTAAACTATTCACTCAGTAAATCGAAAATGAAGTGGTACGAAGACTACATGTGTGTCTCTTCAAATTGTCATACCGTACAAATCAGCATACCGAAAGAAGGAATCAATGATGAAAAACAAATACTTCGAAATGAAAATGAAAATTCAAGGCATAATCACAGAGAACTAAGCAAAAATACCGTCTTTAGGAGATCAATTTTTTGAACTAATTGATTTAACTGAAACGTCACCAAATTCTTTATCCTACTGTACGAATCTTATCCACTATCTTAAGAAAAACAGGATATAACAATCATAAACGCAATTTTTATAAGCTAGTGAAAGAATAAGTTTATTAACGTCATTGTATCAGATTCCAAGTCATATCATTTAACGTGGCTAACTTAATTAATTAATTACGCCTGTTACTCCCAATGGAGCATGGGCAGCCGACCAGCATTCTCCAACCCACACTTTCCTGTGACTTCCTTTCTAGTTCTATCTAATTTCTGTCCATTCTTCTTATGTCTGTCTCCATTTCTTGGAGTAATGTGTATTTTGGTCTTCGTCTTCTCCTTCGACCTTGAGGGATCCAACTGAGGGCTTGTCTTGTGACGCAGTTGGGTGCTGTCATCAATGAACGTGTCTAAATAACTATAAGCAATATAATAATAGGAAATGATTCCCACTGAAACGTAATTTGTTATAACAAACAAAAAGTTGTTATATAAAATAGATGAAGTAATTCTAGCAATGGGATAGAGTGCTCTTGTTTCGTCCTATTTCAAACTCATCAGACGCATGTACCTACATTCCAAGGTTTGATATTCATTCTGGGGTTCTAACTCAGCAGCCTTTGTTTTTAACACCAACGTATTATTCACTTAATTAATAAGTTAAAATAGTCACTAATTTGTACAGCAGGTATGAATTTTTATTTAACTTGTAATAGTATGATTTATCCCTTTGTTAAGTGAAATTAAAAAAAAAACCATAGTATTATTTCACTGTATCTAACTTAATTGTCTATTGTTTTATTGTCTTTCTAAAATAATTTTTTTATTGATTTATATTATATATCTCATCTGTATCTATATGGAAATTCATAATTTTAATTGACTATCTACAACTTTACAGTATATTTCAATGTTGTTTTTCTTTCTGAATAAAGGAGAATTAGTTCTATATCTTATTTACTGTTATTATGATTTAAAATATATAAGTTTAACAATTCCATTGAAATCTATTGTCTTCTTATTTCATAACCAGTAGAAATCTGAAAATTAGTTCTTCCTAAAAAGAAATACGATAATATATCTATGCATATGTAATATTTCTAAACATGTTGACGAAGCATCTCAATAATTGATATCATGCATTTTATAGTATTTTATCTTGAGTGGTGGTCTTGAGTGCTGTTGGAAGTATGAGGGTACCTCAAGAAGAACCCTTCCACGGTGTGGGCAACCAGGAAGTGATAACCAACGGAAATGGTTGAAGACTCTGGGTGACATGGCTCAGAATTGATCACAATGGCGTCGCTGTGTACACTCTGTCTTCCTTTAAACTATGAAATTACAATCGCTTCATATCATTGTTTTTACGAATTAATGTCCTTATACACAATCTTTCTTTTATATATTATCACCACTGAATTAAGTAATTCGATAAATCCTGTGTTCATCTTGTTGTGCTAATAAGGTATGACAACTTGAACCGATGCATATATGTGCCTGGTCCTAAGTTGTAGCAGGCTGACTGACTCTGTGCTTCCAAGTTTTCCATGGTGGTCTAACTTTAATTGACTCATGATCCTAACTATTGAAATCTCATTTATCCTTAGTATAAATTTAAATGTAAATAGAAATTGAGAATAAACATATAATTTCCATTAGCTCTAAAATCAAATGTTTAGTTTCAAGTTTTTAACTGAGTAACTTTGTGTGTCTACTTTAGTTTAAAGAATAAATTTATCTTAGATGGTTTCATTAGGCATTTTACTATAATTATTTATTTACAAGGTATTAATTGATTGAGCAAAGTCAGCAAAAGTTCTCTCTGAATTTCTAGCCCGTTCTATTCAGTATCCGAATAAGAAATGAATAATTTCTCTATA